ACGTCCCTTCCGAAAGCTTCTGACTCATGAAGACTGTCCCAACTGTTCATTTCTAATGGCGTGAGCTGTCATCTTTGATCTCTAGGATCCACGAGGCAGCTCTGTGCTTCTCACTATAGTGTGCTCAATACTGGCTCCTGGGATGGGAGGAGGGAGGGAGCGCTTCAAAAACCCTGCAAAGGCACTCACAGCCTGGCACGCAGAGGTGGGAAGTCCTGAGTGTGTGAGACCATCTCCTGTGTGACTCGAGAGGGAGGCCCCAAGTGTGGCTTGGTCTCTGGACACTCAGATGACAGCTACCCATTCCCATTCTGAGCAGCCACCTCTGGGCTACCCCAGATGAATCACTAGCTTCAGAGTGACACAGACTGCTCAAGAGCCAGGGACACAGCCTGAGCCGCTGAACTTGGGCAGCTCAGCAAAGGCCCAGTGTCCTTGTGGGAACAGATACAGATGTGTTTGTGTGTGCAGGCTGAGCATATGAACAGTGTCTTTCTGCTAGATCAGACAGAACTCAGCTTTCCCCCCACGGGGCCTCTCGTTCCTATGTCTCTCCTAGGGACATTAGTGATCACTTCCCCATGGACTGTTGGCTTAGGCCAGTGGACTGTGGACAGTTCATCTGCTCATCATCTCTCCAAAACTCAGAAACAGGCGGGCAACAGGAAACAGATGGGCACTGTCCCTTTAAGGCTTGCTCCTGGGTGGGATCCAGCTTAGAAGAGTCTGGTAAACAGCCCAGAGCACAGCAGGAAGACGACCATCTTACAGGCAAAGGGGAATGACACAGCAGAGGTGGGAGATCTGTATGATACTCCCTTGAAAGGGCCGTGGACAAAGGAGGCCCTGCCTGGCCTGGGAAAACTGCCACCTCCATCCCATAGACGGACAATGGGAGAAAGTTTTGCCCAGATTTCTAGCAGCAACAACAAGTACATTCACAAATGCAGAGTCTTGAGCTGGGCCCTGGTAGCTCATGCCTGTAATCCTAGTTACTCAGGAGGCTGAGACCTGAGGACTGTGGTTCAAAGCCAGCCTGGGCTGAAAAAGTCAGTGAGACTCTTATCTCCAATTAGCCACCAAAAAGGTGGAGCTATAGCTCAAGTGGTTGAGTACTAGCCTTGAGCAAAAAGGCTCAAGGGAACCACCAAAGCCCTGAGTTCAAGCCCCAGAGTCAGCACCAAAAACAAATGTAGAGTCTGATTCCTAGTTGCTATGTCAAAATCTTCCGGGGAATAATGCCCCTTCTCATTTAGAACTGCCAACAGCCCCCCCCCAGGGGGTGGGGGCGGGATATGCACCAATGGGGCCTGGTAGGTCCACAGGCCTCTCAGCCATCACATTCAGCTTGTCCCAAATGTCTTCCCCCCATACTTTGCTCCTTTCTAGGATTCATTTTCCTCTACCACAAAGAAAGTATGATGGTTTGACAATGAAGTGTCCCCCTAAAAATCCCTCATGTGTTGAATACTTGGTAAACAGATCATGAAAGCTCTACCCTAATTATGGACTCATCTATCAGTTGATCATAATTGCATGGCACTATTGGGAAGTGATGGGGAAAAAAAAGTAGAGCCTTCTTGGAAGAAGTAAATCACTTGCAGACATGCCTTTGACAGTTCTATCTTGTCCTGGTCCTTGGTGTTTGTCTCTCTGAGGTGAGCTGCTCTCCCCTGTCACACCCTTCTGCCTTGCTGTTTCTGACTTGCCTCAGGGCTGGACACTCTGAAACCAAGAGCCAAAACAAATCTTTCATCATTTATGCTGCTTTTCTTGGGTATTTTGTCATAGCAGCAAAAAACTGATTCATACAGTGGGCCAAAATGGCTCCTTTCTAGCTTGGCTTAGGTGGAAGTGCTAGGCCCTCTGCCAAACTATCATGGGTGGACACAGGCCTGCTGCCCTGCCCTGCCCTCATAGCCCTGCCTCCTGTCTGGGTGAGGGTCAAGCTCCATAGAAGCTTGATAGTCTAGCCCGTGGGTTATGGGACTTAGGGGACTATGGTCAAAGTGAGTTTCCCAGGCTTCAGGGTAGTCCTCACATACCCTGAGTCCCTTAGGCTGCTTAGATTAGCAAAGTACTAAAGATAAAACTCATGAGGAAACAGAGGCCAATCCTCTACCTCACACCCCCTCCCCCCACATGGCACCGATGTGACCCAAGGCACAAGCCTGGTCTGGAATAGGGGTGAGCAGAAGATTCTTTTTTTCTGAAAAAAAAAAAAAAATTCCCCGGGCTGGGAAGGTGGCTCAGTGGTAGAGCACTTGCCTTGCATGCCTGAGGCCCTGGGTTCAATTCCTCAGCACCACATAAGCAAAAAAAAAAAAAAAGCCGGAAGTGGTGCTGTGGCTCAAGTGGTAGAGCGCTAGCCTTGAGCTGAAGAGCTGAAGCCCAGAGTTCAGGCCCCATGACCGGACCCAAAAAAAAAAAAATTCCCCAGAATGACTTGCATTCTTTGGGCTTTTGCCTTTGGTTTCACTTACTAAATTTATCATCCTCACCCAGAAGTGAGGTCAGGAAGATGAACTTGAGGGGACCACCAGGCAGGGTAGGCCCCAGGTTCCAATGCCCTCTGAGAATGTCCAGTGAGGGGAGGCAGGGGACAGGGAAATAAGCTGCTGAACTCCTGAGGGCAGTAAAAGCCTCTAGGATTTCTGAACGTGGCCTCTTGCGCAAAGCGCCTCTCACTGAATCTCTTCCCATCTCTGCCTGAATTTCTTCAGTTACATATCAGGAAAAGAAGGAGCCTACCCAACTCCCAGATCAGTTCTTTATTATTATTATTATTACTATAATTATCCCCTTTTTTTGTCAGTCATGGGGCTTGAACTCTGGGCCTAGGTGCTATCCCTAAGCTCCTCAAAACTAGTGCCCTACCACTTTGAGTCTCAGCACCACTTCCGGTTTTTTGGTGGTTAATTGGAGGTAAGAATCTCACGGACTGGGTTGGCTTTGAGCCATTATCCTCAGATCTCGGCCTCCTGAATAGCTAGGATTACAGACAGGCTTGAGCCATCAGCACCAGGCTATTATTATTATCTCCAAGCAGTTGTACAAAGGGATTTCAAGCCAACAAATCAGTTTATAAGTACATTTTGATCAATGTTACCCCTTTCATCATTCTCCCCCAACGTTTCCAATCCTACCCATTCCCTCAAGTTACATGGTTTCATATTCAGATATGTACTTTGAGTATAATGACTGCATTCATCGACCCTCTTTTCCCTTGATGAACTGCCAGAAAATATGTTTCATCTTCAGTATCCCAGAGATGTTCTTAAAAGCACAGCACTGAGCCCCATACAGGTCTATCCTGTGGGTTCCATAGGGCAGGTTCCTGATGCCTTGATCCAGCCTCCGTTACCGCCAATGGGATCTTTTTCTTTCTTTCTTTTTGTGTGTACTACTATTAGGCCTTGAACTCAGGGCCTGAGCATTGTCTCTTAGCTTTTTTGTTCAAGGCTAGCACTCTACTTCTTGAGCCACAGCTCCCTTCCAGTTTTGTTTTGTTTTTTTCTGATGAAATGGAGATTAAGAGTCTCACAGATTCCAACCGCTGCCCTGTAATCCTAGCTATTGAGGAAGCTGAGATCTGAGGATCACAATTCAGCTGGGGCAGAAAAGTCCTAGTGAGGTTAATTAACCACCAGAAAACAGGAAGTGGTGCTGAGGCTCAAAGTGATAGAGTGAGAGCCTTGAGCAAAAGAGCTCAGGAACCAGGCCCAGGCCCTGAGTTCAAGCCACACAACTGAAAAAAAAAAGTTGCATGGACTTTTCAAACCATGATCCTCAGATCTTAGCCTCCTGAGTAGCCAGGATCACATGCAGGAGCCATGACATCCTGGATCATCACTATTTCTTAACCCCTCTGCTCTTCAGTTTCCTTATAGGAGGGACAATGAGGTCAGCCTCACTTGACTTTAACCAAATCCCAGCTTGGCTAAGGCACAAGCGGGAAAAGTAAAACATAGAGCGGGCGAGCAACTAACATCAGCCCACTGGGCTACTGTGTGGTAGCTTTGGGTCCCAGCTAGACTTCTCAGAAAGTATCAGCAGATACTGGGAGAGAATGTCTGGGAGAGAAATAGGCGACGAAGGGGTGTAAAAATGCAGATAGACAGGGAGTAAGGTAAGGGTCAGAAGGGAGGAGACACGACACTGGCCTTTAGCCCCCAACTCCTCAACTGTTGCTACTCTGGAAGGTGATGTTCCTTTCCTCCCAGTGCATCTTATCTGGCTTCCCACACGAGGGAGACGTCTCAGAATGTCCTAGGAAACAAAGGTTCATTGAGCCAAGGGGTCGACGAACTCGGCCTGTCCAGGGCTGGCCTGAGCGCAGGGCTGCCATCCTCGGGTGCATGGCCGCTTGTACTGCCACAGTCAGGATACGGAGGCTGCTTCTCTATGGACCACAGCGCTGCCTCCCTCTGGCCCCAGCTCAGTTGCAGAAAGCCCTCCTATCCCCATTTCCTAGGCCGGACAGGCAAGGTCCCTGGACTGGGTAGCCTTGAGCCAAGGTGGCTCGGAGACAACAGAGCTGGAAGGACCGTTGACACCGTGCACCATGCTGTGTGCACGGCCCGCACTGTGGGGAGCGACCTGTCGTGTCAGGGCTCGCCCTGTTTCAGGGAGGGGGACTCTGACACGGGAGGCAGGTCAGTTGACAAAGTGGCCAGAAAATGGCTGGGGTTTGGGTCTCACTTTATAAAGTGTTCATGACCCAAGCTCAGATGTCTTATCCACCACCCTGCAGCCACATGGTTGGCGTCCCCATGCCCAAGCGGTCCTGGGGGACCCCAAGAGTGCGGCACTTTAGTTACCGAGGCGCTGATCGCGGAACTCTTCCGCCAGGGAGCTAATCCTCCAGCCCCGGGCCCCGCCCCAGAGGGGGCGGAGTCTGAGGGCGGCTGCACGCGGATACGCGAGACCGACAGGAGGCGTGGCGTCGTGGGGGCGTGGCCTCCTAGGCGTGGTGCCGTGGGGGGCCTGGCGTCGTGGGGGCGGGCACACAGCCGGGACCCGGCGGCAGGGGCGCGAGCACACGGAGGCCTGCCGAGAGGTGCCCCGGGTGGCCACATCATGGAATCGGGCGGCCACATTATGGACTCGGGCGCCGAAGAGTACGAGCTCAATGGCGAGCTGCACCCAGGCTCGCCCCGCTCCCCTGAGGCCTCGGTAAGACCCCCCCCCCGCTTCTCCCCCAGCCTGACCTTGGTCGGTACCGCCCTCGCCGGGCCCTGCACCCGCGGCCTCGCCGGCACCTGTGGGCGCTGGGCCGGGTGCGTGCGTGGTCTGCACTGCCGGGTGGCGTCCATCACCGTGCAGCGCCCGGGCTATGTCCCGTTTGTTGTCTGGCTGGGGCGCGACTGGCGGCCCCAGGAGCCATCCCAGCAGGTGAGCAGGGGCCTGGGGGGGAGCTGCCACCCAAGGCCAGGCCAAGCAGTTGTGGGGGCCCCAGACTACGAGGTAGGGGACTGCCGGTGTCCCCTTTCTGAGACTCCTGCCGCCTTCCACACCTCTTTTCTAACTTTAAACCTCGGGGTGCTGTCTTCTCCTGCGTGCTCCGGGGAAAGTGGAGAGGAGTTACCTTCCTCTGGGCTACATGCCAGGGGCAGGCAGACAGCTACGTCACTGACCACACAGTCAATGCTGCCCCGATGGGGGAAACCCAGGCTCTGTGCCTCAGCCCCATTGCCTGCCTGTGAGAAGCGGAACACCCCTCTCCCCCGCATTCACAGCCCTGGGAGGCTTCCAGCCTAGGAGAGCCTGGGGCCCTAGGAAGGCTGTGGTCATGGGCAGACTCTAAAGGTGGTTCCTGTCCCCCTGTTGGTGGCTCACCCTTGTCCCCATCCAGACCTTCCCTATTTGATGTTTCTCGGAAGGATCCAGACCAGGCCAGAGTCCTATGGCCTGGTGCTGTATCCTAGGACCCAATCCTTAGCACCATCCTGGCATAGCCAGCCAGCGACTTGTTGACTTTGGACATTCCTTTTTCGATCCCCCTCCCCCCCCCCTCCCCGTGATGGGGGGGTGGAGACCGTGCCCTGCTGGGATTTCCCTGCTCCCTTGTGATATGAATCAGACTGGGACAGGCATTCTGTGTAAGTGTTGGTGGGCAGTGCTCTGACAGTACCAAAGGGACAGCCATGTTCAGGCAGATTTGTGGGAGAATAGTCCTGGAGTCTCAGGATGAAACATGATGAAACTGAGGACTGAGAGAAACTTCGGGACTTGTCCATGTGTCAAGACTCTGGGCCCTGACTCTATCAATGTGTAAGCACTTTGGAGCAGGGGGCAGGGGGCACCCCTAGCTGTGTGCTCTTAAGGTGGTCAACTCAGCTCTCTGGATCTTCTATATATTGTCTTAAAAAGGGATAACAATGATCCTTTTGCACCTTCAAAGATGAATGGGAAGTAAATGCAGCAACACAGGTGGCTGAGAAGCTGGTTTGAAAGCTGGAGGGTTCTGCTCTTATCCAAGCTTGGCCTTGCCTGGCTGTCTCCTCCCCTCAGCTCTGTCTCTGCTTGTCTTATAGGCTGCAGGGTGGGTTGCACTTCTGGAGGGGTCTGGGTGCATTTTGGGCTCTGGAGAGACTGGGTTGAGTGATCAGGGGTCACTATCTTAGATTTAGAAGGGAAATGTAACCTTATCACTGTGCCCCTGATCTACCTTCAGAGAATGGTGAGAGGCACAGCTCAGGCAAATTCCCAAAGGACTGGAGGGCCACTGAGGGGGAGCACAAGGGTCAGGAAGCCTTCTATGGAGGTGGGCTGTTAGCACTGGCCCTAGAGGGCAAGGAGGGCAGTGGACGGGTCTGGTCCTCTGCTATTAGTGGAAGGGCTCTTGCACAAAAGAAATAGCAGGAGCAATGGCCTCAAGGCTAGGTCATTGTGAACATGCAGAACTGGGTAACAGGTGCTGGGGTGGGAGGCCAGAATGCAGAGGAGAGGCCTGAGGGCCCATTCCAGGTCATGGAGCCCTGGAGCTTCCTAAGGAGTGGCTGGTCTTACAATCTCTGTTCAATGCCTTCCCTCAGAACCCCACCTTGCTATTTGAGGCACCTCATGGCAGCACTTCATGCCTTATTTTTTCATCTGTGAAATGGGGGTGATAATAATGCTTCCCCCAGTAACAGCCCTGGTGAGAACCACATGACTGATGTAGAAAATGCTTGGAGCAGGACCTAGCATACAGTGGCAGCAGCTCTCTTCCTGGCTGGCATGGAGCCCCTCTCCTGGTAGTGACATCAGGAAGTGGATTGAAAAGGACAGCACCTTCCCCTGTGTGGGTTCCCCCCTCCCAGGGAGCCTCAGATTTTTGTCTATGAAATGGGGCAGCATTGCTCACTTCCCAGGTGGTTATAGCTCAGAATAGTTGCCACTCTGCCTTCCAGACAGAGGTGCTCTCTATGGTGGTCCACTGAGCCCAGGCAGCAGGGAAGCTCCTCTACCTATACTCTACTACCTGCAAGACACCTAGATACCCTCAGATAAGCCCCTGCTAGTGTCTAGAGAATGGGCCATTTTCTTCTTTGAGTCAACTCACTTTGGGCTGGCTGCAGAGGAATAGTAAACAGCAGTTCTAATGTGGAAATACCTCACAGTGGATGCCTAGGGCATACACTGGGCACAGTTTTGTGCTGGATACTGGAGGGTGGTGGTTGGGATACAGCTAGGACACAGCCCTCTAGTGCCAGCTCCACCTTCCTGCCCTTCACAGCCTTCAGGGTAAGGTTCCAGGACCACATCTTGGGCCTCCAGGCCATGGAACTGTGTCTGACATGCCTGCTGATCTGTCAGCCTCGGCATGGCCTCAGTGGCTGGGGGAAATTCCTCCTCTCTTTTCTGCTTGCCTGGTACATCTTGAGATGGGCAGGATTTACATGGTTCTTAGCCAAGTTTAAAGGCAACCCTGGCAGGCCTTGTGGGTCATTCCTGGTCAGTTCCACACCCACAGGAAGTGAGTCTGGCCCAGTCCACTGTCAGCTCAGCTGCTATGGTACCTCACTTCTCACACTTCCTACGGTTTGTTAGGGGCTACGTTTCCTGCGGGGAATTCAGAAATGGAGCTGCAGACCCCGTAGGTTCCACTTTCTGGGTCTGATGGGCAAGTACAGCCTCAGAGGACTTGGCTCCAGATCCAGTTCTGGACCCAAACATTTGTCTTTGTGCCAGTCCTGGTCTGGGTGGGGTGTAACAACTCCTTCTCCAAGGCAGATGGGTCAGACAAGGGATACCCAAGGATCAGGCAGGTCCACACTGCCTCCACACTCTTCTGGTGATTGACTGAGCCCCAAGGGCAGTGCCTCTGAACAGGCAAAGCTGGGGTCAGCCAGGATTTATCCAGAAAGATGGTCATCCATGGCAACACCTTTACCCCTTGGACTTGCTCAGCCCAGGAGGACCAGGGTCCAGACTATCCTTTAATGCTGTTTTTGTTTGTTACTTCTGAGCTGGTGGGATTACTGCTGGAGTCTGTCACAATGGACAGAGCGAGCATTCTGGATGGAGGAATATCCCAGCCCTGCTGCCTACCAGTGTGCCCAGACTTAAGACCTCTGAGCCTGCCTCGCTATGTCTCTTCCATGTCCCTGTCTGCTCATTTTACAGATGAAGAAACTGAGTCACAGAGCAGTCACCCTACTGTGTGTGGTGGGATTGCAAATGGTAAAGGAGGTATGGAGTGGCACCCACTCTGGGAACACCCTTCCAAAGGTTAGGTAGCTGGCATATATTTCATTTGTAAGCCTGGCCATGGTCCCCTATCCAAGCCTCAGAGGACTAACAGAACCAGATCAGGCTGGACCATGACTTCAGCAGGCCTGGTTCAAATGTCCCAGCTTCCCTGCCTCCCTTTCAGCTGTGGGGTTGGGCGGCCTTGGGAGCACATGGCCAGGCCCCACTTGAGGCTGCAGTCTGACCCAGGCAGCACCTTGCATGATACTCATTCCTCTCTCCAGTGTCCTTCTTCCTGTTTAGAAGAAACAGTCTGGCTTTACTCCCATCTCCCTATGCTGCTGGGATTTCAGGGAATTCCTGTTAGCCTTGGAGACACATTAACCAGGGTGTTTGTTCCCTTTACTGCCCATGTCACTAGCATAGGCCTGGCAGGGTTTTCCTAGCACGCTCTAGGTACCTGGTCAAGTCCACAGGGCTGACCTGTGGTTGGACTGCCCAGGCTTCAATCAAGGCCCAGTCCATTTGTGTGCACAACCTAGGACACACATGTGCAGGAGTCGCCTTCAAGGTTTAGGACCAGGGTCCCCTGGAGGCCTGATGTGCAGTCCACTTCCCCATCTAGCCACATAGCTTTGGAGCCCATGGTGTGTATTTTAGGGCAGTCATAGACTTGGGGCATCTATCCTAAGGTTTGAATTCTGACCCACTCCTCCCTGGGAAGTTCCCTGGACTTCTGAACCTGCATTTCCTGGTAGATAGAGGTGAAAAGAATGTGGCCTCTCACTTGGTGGGCAGGCAGGGCTCCAGAATATGACCCCAGATGTGCTGATAGGGAGACAGAGGCAGCAGAAGGAGCTGGCTGTCTGGGTCAGACTCAGTTGGTGAAGAGCCAGGGTCTGACCCTATGCGTGACTTCCTTAGCTTCTGGGTCTGGAGCCCTTATCTCATACAGTCTGAATAGGAAGCAGAGGGCTGGATGGGCAGGAAGTGCCCTTCAGCAAGGGGAGTAGTGGATCGAGGCCTCCGCTGGGTCCCAGGCTCTAAGTCATCCCCAGGTATTTGCTTCACAGTCTGTGGCTTGTGAGAGGCTGTTCCATGGAACTAGGAGGACTAGTTATCCTGAGCCTGGAGCAGGGAGAGCTAAATCCCTCAGGTGTCAGTACTCTAGCCCCCCTCTATGGGGCCCAAGGGGATGGTGGTATCAGCCAAAAAGGTTCTGAGCCCCACAGCCTGAGTTTCAATTCCAGCCCAGTCCTTACTTGTGTGGCCACCTTAAATGAGTACAAGGGTAGCAGGGACACAGGCTCTTGTGTTGGGATGCTGAGAGTTGAGGTGGGAAGTGGGGACACGGGGTTCTACTGCTGATGGTGCTCATTCATAGATCTGACTGTTCCTTGTGACCCTGTGGCCATGAAATTCTTAATCGGTTCAGAAGAGCTAAGAATAAAAAGGAACTCCTCCAGCCAAAGGTGAACATACTTGGCCTGAGGGTATATGCATGTTTATGTGTGGGCGCATGTAGTTTGTATATGCTGTAATGTGTGCATGCGCCTCTGTGGGTGTGTATATGTGAGTTTATGTGAATCTGTTTGTGTATATGTGTTGTGTTGTGTACATACACATGCACGAGTTGTACAAAATGTGCGTGCATCTTTTGTGTACAAAGAATTGTGCATATGTGTTATATGTGTGTGTGTATATACATATGTGTACATATATTATGTGCATATAGTGCATCCACATTTCATATGTATATACATGGGTATGTGACTATGGATGTGTGTGGATATGTGTGCATGCATGCATTTGTGTGTTGGGTATAGATGTGGGTATGTGAGGAGTGGATATATATGTGCATGTGTGTGAGCTTTTGTGTGTTTTATAGGCGTATGCTCATGTGTATGTGTTGTGTGTACCTATATGGATATGGGACCTTTCCCTAAAATGTAGGAATTCACAGGTCTGCACCTGTGCCTCCAGGAGGCTGACTATGACCTTGCCTCCAATTGGATTCAATACCTAGGGGCTACTAAAAAGGGCTGGGCAGCTGGGTGGCTAAGAGAAGTTAGGCTTTGGTGTCTTAAGGACATATTTTGGGTTGGGGACCCAGGTGAACATTAGGACAGCCTTGAGGGAAGGTACTTGGGCTCTTAGGAAGGAAGCTGGGTGCTAGAGTCTTATACCTGTAATCCTAGCTACTCAGGAGGCTGAGAACTGAGGATCTCAGTTGGAAGGCAGCTGGAGCTGGTTGTAGTTAATCTCCAGTTAACCACAGGAAACCAGAAGTGGGGCTGTGGCTCTAGTGATAGAGTGCTAGCCTTGAGCAAAAGGAGCTCAGGACAGTGTGCAGGCCCAGAGTTGGAGCTCCAGGACTCCAAGAAAGAAAGGAAGGTGGAAGAAAGGAAGGGAGGGAGGGAGGAAGGAAGAGAAAGGAAGAGAGGGGGGAGGGAAGAAAGGAAAGAAAGAAAGAAAAAAGAGAGAGAAAGGAAGGAAAGGAGGGAGGAAGGGAAGGAAGGAAGGAAGGAAGGAAAGAGAGAAGAGAAGAAGAAAGAGAAAGAGAAAAAAAATAGGAAGGAGCTCCTGTCCACTGTAGACCAGTGACCTCTGGATGCACTACACACAGGAGAACATGTGCTGGGGTGTGGCCAGGCGATGACCTTTTGAGGACAGAGTTGAGGATAACTTCAGGGCTATGCAGAGAAAAATAAACATCCTGGGAGGGGCTGTTTTCCCTGGGAGTGAGCTAGGTTGGGTGCATGGTTGCAGTGACACCAGAGCAGGGCTGGGGATGGGAACTGAGGGGGGTGGCTGGCTTTCTCTGTTTCCATTTTGAGTTCTTACTCAGCAAGCAAGCTCCTCAGAGAACAACTGATACCAAAGATAGATGGTTGGATAGTCCAAGTGTAGATACAGAATTCAACTGTATCTCTCCCTCCTCTCCCCCCTCCCCCCCAGCCCTGCCTTAACACACCTGTGTCTACCTCCACCAAGCCTGCCTTCCAGGTACTCTAAATTCTAGCACTCAAGATGAGGCAGGAGCTTGGATAGTTTAAAGCCAATCCAAGCTACACAGTGAGACCCTGTCTCAAACAGTCAAACAAATACAAGCCTTAAAATTTAAAATATCATAAAGCAGAATCCTACCTTCTGTTAGTTTGCTGCTGCTGCCTCTCATGCATCTTTCATGAGATTGGAAACAAGATCTCCTGGACAGCCCCAGGAGACTGGCTCCCCAGCCACTGTCTCAAACCCAATGCCTGAGCTCTAGAAGCTGCAGTGCAGTGTGGGTAGGCTCTGCAGTGCAAGGAGCCAGGGGGCCAGAGCTGAGAGTGGGTGGGATTTTCCTGGGTGCCTAGGAAGGGGCCTAAAAGGGGTAGTTTGAGAGGGTTGACTGGCTCATGGAAAGGAAGCTGGCTGTGCAGAGGTATCTTGAAATGAAAGCAAGTGATCTGGGCAGGAAGGGTTCCTGTCCCACAGCATCCTAGACAGGGCCTCAGAACATGAGCATACCTGGAAACAGAAGGGCATTTGGGGTAGAAGGGCTCTGAAGGCCTCTCTTGACTGGCTGTGTAGAGAGGTGAGAGAGTGACCCAGGAAATTGGCCTCCAGGCCTTGGAAGGGGCTGGGATCACCCCCCAAACAGAGTAGAAGATTCTTACCAAGTGATACTCACCCTGCAAGAAGAGATCAGAACTGCTGTCTCTCTGCAATTACTATGGAAACTCAGGGAGCAATTAAGCACTACTGTATGCAGGATATTCAGGCCTCTGTGTGCTAGGAGAATTCTTGGTGTGCACACCGGTGAGCAGCTTGTGGCTGGGCAGGGGTGGCCAAGTCATCCTGGAGGGCATTGCTGAAGGACTCCACTAGGTCACCAAGGCAGAATTGACCTTTAGCCTCCATCAGCCAAGGGTGTATTTTAGGCTTGGACCAGTAGACTCTCTGTGGGGGCAGAACAAACTGTTACCCACCTGTCACTTCCATTTGCAGCACCAGGAAGAAGCCAGACCCTAAGGGGAAGGAAGGCCCAGGTCTCAGGACAAGGATGCGCACCTGCCTCCCCACCAGCAGTAGGACAAAGGCTTATGCATTTTCCACCTGTGTGCTCCAATTGCAATTTTGTTTCCTTATTACCTAGAAAGGTTTTGTAGAGGCTGTATAATAAGCACTGTCCTGGGCTGTATTTATATGGTTCTGTATCCGTCTGCATTCTCCCCAAGCCCCATTCTACCCCCTGCCCTACTGACTTTCCCCTTCCCACAGCCTTCCCGCTGGGGCTTGAGGAACCGGCTCCTCAATGTGAACCATTACGCCAACAAGAAGAGTGCAGCCGAGAGCATGCTGGATGTTGCGCTGCTGATGGCCAATGCGTCCCAGCTGAAGGCCGTGGTGGAGCAGGGCCCTGCCTTTGACTTCTTTGTGCCCCTAGTGGTCCTCATCTCCATTTCCCTGGTGCTGCAGATCTGCGTGGGTGTACTGCTCATCTTCCTCGGTAGGAACCTGATATCTCCTTACGTGGCTCCCCACCCCCAAGTGTCCACCACCTGCCTCACTCTGCTCCCCCAGAACTGAGAGGGCCCACCTCTTCTCAGCCAGACCTGTAGTTCAGGATGTGGCTTCTTCCTCCCCATGTACAAAGTAGGGGCAGAGACGTGTGCCTGGTTCTTTGAGGCCTCAGGGCTCGCTACATGAGATGCCAGCCCTCACAGCCCTAGCTTGGGGCCAGCCTCTGGGAACAACTGTCCAGTGGTAAAGAGCAGTCCAGTTATGCAGGAGGTTAGGGGATGATGGGCCAGGAAGTGAGGATGAGCCCTTAGGCCAGGAGATGAGGATGTCCATGGCATCCTTGACCTCTGTCCAGGGGGGACATCCTCAACAAAGCAGCAGGATGCCACATCCCTGTTGCTTTGCTTCTTGGCTGTGTGTGCTGGGGAAAGTGAGTGGCCCTTTTGGGACCTCAGTTTCTCAATCTGTGCAATGAGGATAATGGTTGCACCTTGGGGAGAGAGGATTAAGTGCTCTCATCTGACTTGATATCCATGAGCAACATGACTTAGGCTCATCACCTAGGCTTCAGTTCTTCATGGAGGGTGGGGGAAAGGGTTGCTATAGAAGGTAAGAACACCCAAGTTAGGGTTTTGGCAACAAGTGAATGTTCTCTGGGGAAAAATTCTCTTACCCTAAATCTGGCTGGGGTCCATAATGTCCACTCAACACAGTCCCAGTCTAAGCTGCCCTGAGCACTATCCCCTTTCTCTCTCCCACAGTCAAGTATGATCTTAACAACCCAGACAAGCATGCCAAGCTGGACTTCCTGAACAACCTAGCCACGGGCCTGGTATTCATCATTGTGGTGGTCAACATCTTTATCACAGCCTTTGGGGTCCAAAAGCCCATGATAGATATGGCACCCCAGCAATAGAGAATCCAGGTAAGCTGGGAAGGGAATATGGGACCCACTATTTGCCACCACCTGGGAGGCTTCTAGGGTGTTTAAGCCTCCAGCTAGCTCTCCCTGAGCCCCTTCTTGGGACAGAGCACCCTTGTTCATATCCACATGATCCCTGCTTGGCACTGCCAGGCTCTCCACATGGATTGCCCGGGGTTCAGTGGGATGTTGAGGAAACGCATGCTTTTTATTTATTTATTATTTTAATGGTGTTGAGGGAATCCAGGGCCTCCCACATGCTAGGCAAATGGTATATTACTAAGCTATACCCTCAGCTCTGGAATCTCCATTTAAACATCTGGAAAGCTTGTATGAGAATGAAATTTCTGGGCTGGGAAGGTGGCTCAGTGGTAGAGCACTTGCCTTGCATGCTAAGGCCCTGAGTTTGATTCCTCAGCACCACATAAGCAAAGAAAAAAGCTGGAAGTGGCGCTGTGGCTCAAGTGGTAGAGCACTAGCCTTGAGCTGAAGAGCTGAGGGACAGCACCCAGGCCCAGAGTTCAGGCCCCACAACTGGACCCCCCCCAGAAAAAGAAAAAATGAAATTTCTTTTTTTTAATTTTTTTATTGTGATTAAGTGATTACATAAATTTCACAGATTTAATAGTATTATGAGATACTGATACTTAGTTAAAGCCACAAACACATTCTAACCTTCATTGGGCAAATTGTCATTATCATGGTCTCTAAAGTTTGTGACTTCTATGAGCTTTGACAATACAGCTATTTCTTCCACATTTCTTGAAAATGAAATTTCTTAATTAGAGATGGTGGTACACACCTATAGTTTCACCATGCAGGAAGTTTAGGTAAAAGGATTCTAAGTGAGAGGTCACCCTAGGCTGCATAGAAAGTTCTAGGCCAGCTTGGGATATAATAAGATGCTATCTCAAAGGAAGGAAGGGAAGGACCAAAGGAAAGCAGGAGGAAGGAAGGGTGAGAAGGAAAGGAATGAAAGAAAAGAGGGAGGAGGGAAGAAGAAGGGAGGAGAAAGAAGGAAGGAAGGAAGGAAGGAAGAAAGGAAGGAAGGAAGGAAGGAAGGCAGCCACCCAGCCAGCCACCCAGCCAGCCAGCCCACCATGAATTTCTGATATCTCTTGAGAACAGGGACAGAGGCTCTGCTTGTTTTATATGACCTCTCACCTGAGCAAGTGGTCTCTCCCACTCTGAAAAGGATAGAATTTGATGTCTAATACTCCATCTGTTCATCCTTTGCCCCAAGGGTCTGCATCACTCCTGCTTCTCCTTGAGGAGCCCCATAAACATGCTCAGCCCTACCCACTGTTCCTGCTCAGAGTGATTGCTCACTTGAAGATGCTCAGCCTGGGAACAGGCTGAATAGAGAGGTCTGGGTGACTCAGGCTAAGGCCACCCATACTACAGGCCATGTGGCTGTGGTCTGGGGCCATGCGTGCTGTAATCCATGTAAGTGAGGCTGGGGCTGCCCTGACACACTACCCCAGTGCTCTGGTCCAGAGCCTGAGGCTCTCCTGCTAGCCAAGGATCTGGATGGCTCACATGGTGTCTGATTCCCAGCTCAGCCAGTACTCAGGTTTGTAGTCAGCTATCCTCCCACAGAGTCTCTGGATGTCAGCCTGTGTTGTGTCCTCATGCCTTTCAGGGTGAGGCTACCTACTGTGTGGCCTGACACAGTTCTTGGCTCTTCCTTAAGCATTGGTCCTGTGCTAGCCAGGCCCCAACTTTTCTGCTGGGGCCTACTGGCTCACAGACATGGCCTTTTTCCTCTATTGGTGCCCTCAGGGCTGTCCCCAGAGACCCCAAGTCCAGAGTCACTGTATATACTGCTACTTGAAGCTACCAGAATAGAGGTCACTCCTGCCTGGCCCTGGTGTCCATACTGGGCCATGCCTTTAAATCTTGACAGAGATGCAGGGATGGTGTATTTCAGAGAATGAGCTAAGGGCCTAGAGAGCCTTGCAGACTCATTCAGGTCAGACAGGTCTTTTGTACTTCTCAGTCTTAGGGTCCACGTATCTGAGTGGCTGGTCACCTGGATGGACTCAGGGCCTCTACCAGCTTGGGACATTGTTGGCTGGGCCAGCCAGCCCTCACACCTCTTCTCTCTTCTTTCCAGAACCTTGAATGCCATCTGTCCCGCAGCCCAGCCCCCAGAAACTTCGAGTCCTGAAGTTACTCCAGCTCCATGTGTAGTACTCCCATTGGGCCAAAGCCCAAGCTGGCCTTTGCTGGGCCATGTCCTGAGACACGCGCTGATTGTGACTGACCATGGGAGGCCCTACCCTGTGTGTGGGGGGCTGAATGTGAGCCCAGAAGGTCAGAACTGGACAGACCCAGAGACTAGTATCCAGAAATGGTCACATCCCACCAAAGGACACACATCTGATCTGCATGGGCCAGATCAGGGGTCTGCTTTGGCCTCTGTCTCAGGATATTCCAGAAGGACTAGAACTTGGCCCTCCCTTTGCCAAAGCACCAGCATCCCCATGTCCCGTGAGGCCTGCCCAGGCCACCCTGGTGACTGCTGCACTGCTTCTGCCACTTTCTAACCCAGGGACACTGGACAGCCAGCATTGACCATCAGCCTCTGGCTCCCTCTTCAGTACCTGGGCTTGGTGGTCACCAAGAAGCAGCCTCAGACCCTACCCACACCCTCCACCAGCAGTGATCAGGCAGAGCCCCAGTCCCCCTCCTAGGGGTCCAGGCCTCTACTTTTCTAATCAGGAATGACAATAAAGCTCATATGCCTCCCTGCATCACTGTCCCCTCCCTGCAGGACCATCAGCATGTAGTTCCAGCTAGGGCTGCCTTCCCTGGCACTGTTGAGCTGAGCATGTTCCAGCATCTCTCAGGGTGAGAATTGGAGGCAGAGAGGCTGGGATCTCAGAGACTCGAGAAGGGGTGGCTTGCGCCATATAGCTACCTAAAACATTTGTTAAGTCACTTTGGTGCCTTTGGAATTCTGGTGCTGGACTCTGACTGTTCTCCCCCCAGGGAGCTGGAGAAGAGGAGTATGCATCATAAGCCTGGGAACAGACACGCCCTTACCTCAGTTGCCGCCCATGTCCTCAGTCACATGTGCAATGGCCTGCTGTCTGCTCCTTGCCAAGTTCTAGCACTCACTGTTCCCCATGGGTCTGCATTATTCTAAGTCCTGGAAGCCTCTCTGCTTCAAGTCTATTCTTTGGCCTGCATTGGTGTTCAGCACTGCTCCGTTCTTGGGAGTAGGAGGAAACCCAGGAGCATGGCCTAGACACAGAGCCACCTTCAGGGGCCCTACGCCCAGCAGGAATCAACTTCCAGGCCACCATTGTCCCTGGATCCCAGACCTTGCTACCCACCTTGGTCTCCCAATAGCATCTTCTAGCCAAATCTCTCCACACATTCCCTCTTGCAGAGGCAATCTTCTGCATTCTGCTGTGTGGTGTCCACACCTAGTCCCTTCCAAATGAGGTTTCTGGACATCTGCCACTGGTCTCTGCCCTCTCCTCAAGTAGCCTTCTCAAGCCATAGGATGAGAAATGAGGGCTTCTCTTGAGACCACTGCCCATCTCTCCCTCACCCATCAGAGCAGTGAGCCTGGAGTGACTCTTAAAACCTGAGGCCTTAAAATGGTCACAAATTCTGGGCACCAGTGGCTCACACCTTTAATCCTAGTTACTCATGGGAGATCTGAGGTTCACAATTCAAAGCCAGCCCAAGCAGGAAAGTCCATGAGACTCTTATCTCCATGTAACCACCAGAAAACTGGAAGCGGCACTGTGGCTCAAGTGGTAGAGCACTTATCTTGAGCTGAAGAGCTGAGGGGCAGCACCCAGGCCCAGAGTTCAAGCACCATGTCTGGCAAAAAAAAAAAAAAAAAAGATGGTCACAAATATGGCTGACCTATCAGGTTCCTAAAGTGGTGGATGAGCAGATGTTATTATGGGTGAAACTGAATGCTTTAAAGATATTCCAGAGAAAAACCTGGACATAGTGTTGTATGCCTGTTGTTCTACCAAAAGGCAAGAGATCACTTGCGTGTGAGTGTTCTCGGCCAGCCTGGACAACATAGAATGCAATGCTCTCAGAACAGAAAACAAAAGAAAAACCTTCAAGAAAAACAAAGGGTGAGGAAATGAGTGAAAAGAGATGCTGATAACCATAGAAAATAGGGTCTAGCTTGCTGTTCCTCCTTTTGGGAGGAAGTGAGCCATGAAAAGTAGTCTGTGCAGTGTGTTCCAAGATAAGCCAAACTGAAAAGAAACAAACAAAAAACAACCTCCCCTCCCCCCCCCACACACAAAAAAATCTGGGCCAGGTGGGTACAGGTGGCTCACACCTGTAATTCTAACTATTTAACTATTTAGAAGGCTGAGATCTGGTTTGAAGCCAGCCCAGGGAAAGAAAGTGTGAGACTTCTCTCCAATTAACCACTAAAAAGCCAGAATTAGAGCTGTGTCTCAATGGCCCTGAAACATGCTTCCAAAGGAGACAGGCAGAGTTGGCTGCACACTGTGGAAGGAGCCAGCACCACTCAGTGCCCAGGCCTAGCTCAGGGCCACCCTACCACCAGGGTCCCTGGTTTAGACTGACCATTGACCACCTGTGTGTCGACAGCCGGATGTTGGCCAACCTATGGCTTAGTTCCTCCTTTAACATGGGGGGAACTCATTCTGCTGGGCTGAAGTGGGCACCAAGGTGCTCTCTGCACTGAGGCCACCTGGCTGTCAACAAACCTGGAGCCTGGTGATTGAGGCAAGATGAGCCTGCCAAGGTGAGGGGAGCCCCCAGAGAGACAGGAGGGGTAGTCACTACATAGTAGGTGGGGAAGAATGTTCTAGGCAGAGAGTCAGCCTGGGCATGAGCCCTGATGGTAGTCAGTGAGGTGGGGATGCTGTGGTAGGTGGGGATGGTTCTGGCTAAGAGTGGCCATGAAGGCCTGAGTGAGACAGGTTTGTTTTCCTTTACCTTTTTACTGTACTAGGGATTTGATTATGTAGACAGATAGACAGGGTGGTGGATGGTTAAATGGGTGGGTAGAAGAGTGATAGATCATGAGAGCCATGGTATAGTTAAGTGTCCTCCCAAAGTCCATGTCTTAAAGGCTTCATACGTAGGGTGGCACTATTGGGACATGGTAGAACCTGTAAGTGTAGCCTATGGAGAGTTTTTAGGTCATTAGGAGTATAGTTTTGAAGAGGATTATAGGACCCCAACCTATTCTTTGTTCTCTCTTTTTGTTCCCTGGCTCCTCAGATGAGCATCCATTCTATGATGTGCTGCCTTTCCAGAGGCCCAAAGTAACAGAACCAATAAATCATGGACTAGAACCTCCAACATTGAAAGCTAAAATAAACCTTTTCTCTTTTTAAGTTAATTGTCTTGGGTATTTTGTTACAGTGTCATAAAGTTGATTAACATATTAGATGTGAATGATAGATAATGGACTGATAGATGGATAATAGGTAATAGATAAATCATCAGTTTATTAATAATGATAGATAGATATGACTGGATAAACAGATGTCAGGCTCAATGAGTTATCCCAAAGCTTTCCCTGGGAAGTATCTTTGGAGGGGAAGTGGCTCTGGGCCATCTTAGAGCCACCTTAGGCCCTCATTTATTTTCCATGGCCTAGGTGCCCTGGGCTTGCCCTCAAACACTGGGTTTTTCCTGTCAGACTGCATACTTCAGATTGTCTTCTAAGCCTTGGATCTGCAGGCTGTCCCCAGGTCCTCAAAGGATCTGGTGTGTTGAGAAGTTATCCCTTTGAGGTTGGATCCAAGGTCCAACACCCACCATACCCAGCCTCCCAGACTGTATTTCCAAAGGCCTTTTCTCTCCCCAACTTTAATAGGGTGAAACCCCTATTTTTCTCATTGTATTGATCTTGACATTTAGGGGACCCAATGCTTTCATGTTTTATTTTTTTCTCCTTATTCACAGAGGCATATTTGGGAGGAATGTGCAAACTAGTTGATGTTGGTTGTGGCTGAGGAAGCAGCCCCAGCAGCTGCTTCCTGTGCTGCAGCCTGGCACATTGTCCTTCCTCTAGCCAATGGGTGCTGGGAAGCTGCTTTCAGTCCAAGGCAGCCCTACACCCCACACCCAAAGCCCTAGTCCTGGTTGTTCCCCTTAGGGCCTTGGCTCCACTGCAGGTTTGGACTAGGGTCCTGCCTTAGGGTTAGATTAAGACTGGGTCTTACAACCTTTTGACTAGAGTCCTCTCCCAGCCAGACACCCCTCTCCCCACCGCAGAAGGGGTGTCATATACACTTTCTCCTGCTCTACTAAGACCCTAGTGATCCAACTATGTTCCCCAAATGTCTACCTCCTGAGCACCCTTAGGTGCTCCCACTGAGGGAGCAGAACATGCAGCCTTCTTCCATTCTACGAGAGGATGGATATCCAGGACCCACCCAAGTGAGCCAGGGCCTGTGGCTAGTTAGGCCTGCAATTAGGGCTCATGAGCAGGGCCCCTGTAAGCCATCTGCAAAGGAGAGAGAACTCAGCGTGCAGGTGCTGACACAGCAGGAAATAGAAATAGTGATACCACACAAAAACAGTGTCAGCATACCCCTAAATCCAGGCCTTGCACATTTATGTGTTCATTAACCCTGGGGTTGTGCAAGAGGCAGAGGCATTTCTAAGCTTCAGCCTCATATACCCTGTGTGCCCGCTTGTCTGAGCCCTGCTTACTCCCTGCTCCATCCCCTCCATCCAAGCCTGTGCCCCATCCTTTCCAAACGTCTGGTGTTCGAAGCGTCTCCATCCCAGCATGCCTTGCAGTTTCTGCAGTTCTGGGAATGAGGTCCTTGAAGTGCCCACTGTTCTTATTTGGCTGTGAAAACAGGCACCTGGAGTAGGTGATAACTTATCTGGAACTTGAATTGTGAGGCCAGTGGGATAGAAGGCAAGGAGACCCCATGCAGAGGAAATAGCTTATTCCTTACAGAATCTCCTAGAGCTGTGGTTTTGTGGCATTCAGTGTCAGGATGGAGACTCAGGACCAAGCACCAGAGGTGGCATCAGGGAACTAAGGCCCTGTGGTGCCTTTTACTCTTCTGTAGACTTACCTCATCCCAATGGATGCTGTGGACATCAGTTGGCTAGGAGTTTGCAAACTCCCCACTGTGACTGCAGAAATCTAGTCAGGGAGCCACAGCCTAGAAGGACCCGCCAGGCAGTACTGGGGTAGGAAGTACCAACAGGAGAGGGGCCAGTGAGTGGTTAGAGATGTCTAAGATCTCAGCCACAGGCTTTGAGTCCAGCCAGATTGGGGGGTGGGACCCAGAGACATCTGCCAGCCACTGCTCATAGGCTGAGCTAAGTCCCACAGTCTAGTGTGTCACAAGTAACAAGAAAGCCATCCTGGAAGGCCAGATGGATTCAAGACCAGGACTCCAGCACATCCTGTGTGTCCACACTTGTGGGGACACCCTTTCCAGAGGGCCTAGGAGTCAGGGCCTCACAGGTCATTTTGGTAGCTCTGAGAGGATGTGTCTTCCTTGGTCTCAGGTAGGGATCAGCCCCATGACCTTCCCAGACCCAAGACCTGTGACCACACACAGGTCTGGACATTTCCATCCTTCAGCTGAAAGAAACTAGAATTTCAGTGGCCTTCAAGATTCCTCTTTAACCCTCTGTGGGCAAATCCAACCTGTGCATGCCCTCAATTCAAGTGTTACCGAGCCCTCTGTCACCTTCACTGTGTGTGCCACTTCTTACCCAGGTGTTAATGCCACCTTCCTATAAAATGGAAAGTTCATGAGCTTTGTCTGTGGGCACAGTGCTTTACCAGAGCCTTGCCCTGCTGAGCCACACTCAGGATGAGTGCCCAGAGTAGGGGTCCCATGCTACAGGTTGACAGACTGAGGCTCAGGGACAGGAAGGAAGCAGGGGAGTGAAGGGAGCTCCCCCTCAGAAATGGGGGCGTGGTGGGCTGGGAGTGTGGCTTAGTGGTAGAATGCTTGCCTAGCATGCATGAAGCCCTGGGTTCCATCCCTCAGTACCACATACACAGAGAAGGCTGGAAGTGGTGCTGTGGCTCAAGTAGTAGAGTTCTAGCCTTGAGTAAGAGAAGCTCAGGCACAGTGCTGAGGCCCTGAGTTCAAGCCCCAGGACTGGCAAAAAACAAGACAAAGCCACCTTTTCTCTCTGGGCATATGGTGTCATCGCAGGTGGGAGGCCAGAGGGCATGGTTGGCCTTTGCCTTCACCCCAGTTCTCTGAAGGAACAGTTACAGTGTTGGCTGTGTGGTGAGCAGGAGCCCCCACATTATTGCATTTCTCGCTCTCATGGGCTCCATTAACCTGAGACCTGAGTGGAGCCCCATCCGGGGAGCCTGGCCCTGGACAACCTCACCCCACATACAGTACCCCCTGTGTGGTTCCCCGCTACGTTAGAGCCCCTTCTACAGCCCAGTGCACATGCTCCTGGAAGCCTCCATGGAAAACACAAACTCATGATGATTCTTCTGGTTGACAAATGCTGTTGTCTCCTCAAAACAGGCTGATGGGGACAGCAGGAAGGGAGGCAATGAAGAGACAAACCTATCGTGCACCAAGGCTCAGAGGGTGGATTAGAGCATGTGCAGCTGGTGCCTTACACATGTCTGCATACATGTGTATGGACATGTACACATATGGTATATGTGCATGTGTATGAGCATGTACATGTGCAAACTGTGTTACACAAGTGCATTCGTGTGAGTGCTTTGGTATGTATGCTGGGAAGCAGGGATGGGGTGGGAAGAGGCACACAGAACTCCCTCTTGCTGGCCCTTTTGCTGCCACTGGTCTTGGCCCTGACCTCAGCTTCCTTATCTCTAAGGTGAGGGTAGTGACTCAGTCCCTGAGGACTAGGTGACAGCACAGAAGAGGGTGTTGGCTGCCTCCAGCCTTGAGCCCATAGGTGTTGCCTGAGGCTGGAGGGCCCTGGGGGGCTCTGACAATGGGAGCCAAAGGTGTCCATTCCCAAGGGATATTTCTAGAGCAAAGCCTGAGACTGAGGCGGGTAGCATGGACTTGAGAGGCATAGTCATGCTCAGTGAAAGGAGCAGGACTCTGCCCCACACAGACCAGTCCCAGCTCTGGGGCACATGAAAAACTGGCTGTGGTTATGGGGAAGGGGTGACAAGCCAGTGCCCAGGACCTCTGATGAATCTCTAAAGTATCAAGAAGGTTCAGCAGACGGCTTCATTCTACCTCCCACTTGAGCAGGGTAGCCCTTGTAGGTGAGCAACAAGACTGATGTGCTTTTATTCCACATGACTGCCAGTCCACCTTTAGTGGCTCTGACACCTCATCTATCCTGCATAGTGGCTGGGAAGTGGGTTCAAGTACCCAGCTCCATTGAGAGCTCTGTTCTTTGAACACACTGGCTAGCCAGGAGTGTGGAGAAGCTGGGGCTGTAGTGACTGGCCAAGGACTATAAGGTCAAGGGAAGAGGTCCAGGAAGGATGGAGACATGGGGGCTTCTTGGATAACCGTGAGAAAGCAACAAGGACAAAGTAGATCGGACTCCAACGTGGTTGAATGTCCCTTCGCTCCCTTTAGCTAAGTGACCCAGGCAAGTGGTTCCCTCTCTAGGCCATGTTTCCAACCTCAGTGGAGTCAGCAGGCAGGGAGGCTGTCAGACCAGGATTCAGAGCTGCCAGGCCAGCCAACCCCTGTCCATCCTTCCCCACAGGGCCTGAAGGCTGAACAGTGAGACCAGGTGACTGAGCCACCAGGGGGCACCAGATGGCCAGGAGGTTGAGATGCAACAGGGGAAGGACAATATGGGGACATGTGAGGTAGGAGGGAATGGAGGATAGTAGAGGAGGTCTGAGAGGTTGGGAGCAAGGGGAAGATGTCTGAGAGAGAGGGCACAGTAGGGAGACACAGAGAGAAGGGGAGGGGAAGGCCTGGCCCAAAGGCTGGACTTGAAGCCATGAGAGCCAGGCATTCATTGGTTGCTCAGGTAAATCCAAGCTACTCAGGAGGCTGAGATCTGAAAATCATGGTTCAGAGTCAGCTAGAGTAGATAAAATCAAGAGACTCTATCTCAACTGTGAGAACATCAGCTACGAGCATAAAAGTCAAGTAAGAACACGAGGCCCTGAGTTCAGCCCCAGTACTGACAGCGGCCAGTCAGAATCCTGTAGAGACTCTCCTGAGACAAAAGAAAAAAAAGAAAAAAGAAAAAGAGGCTGAGATGATATAAACATTTAATACATTAGGCACCTTGCAGGGTGAAGGTGATAAGCTTCTTATAGAAATTATAAATAGTGAAAAATAAGCATTTAGAAAAAGAAGTGCTGGCTTTGCAGTGGGCAGCCGGGCGATTCTTTGGTTGAGCAGCAGACGAGGCTCAGGGTCTGAGTCCATCAGAATCCCCCGAGGTCATCTGCTAAGAAGGCCAGCAGGTAGCGGCTGACATGTCTGTCGATGATGACTGGTGAGAAGCCGAGGATACGCCGGGTTCCTGGCAACACCTTGGGGTCTGGAAGACAAAGGGAAAGCTCGGATCCAAGAGCCAGCCATTATGGTGAGCTGTCCTGGCCTTGCTGAGTTCTGTAGGGGCCAGAACAGGCTGGGCACTGGTGCTGTCACTTTCTCATTCCCGCATGGTCATGATATTTGAGTTAACAGACCTGAATTGGGGCACATGTGAAGCCTATAGCTCTTGCCTGAGTGACCCGCAGGCCTTGGGCACTGTGTGGGTATGCACCTGGCCCCACCCCCTGAGGCCTTCCACAGGTGGGACAAACTAGGGCATCATGGGAAGGGGGAGGGAGAGTGGGCTGGACTTGACTTGGCACTGTGATGCCTTGTGGCCTCCAGTCATGGAACTCTACAGAGATTACAAGACCCAGGCTTTAGGGGAAGTGACCTGCTCAAAGACCCCATGTGACTCAAGGTCACCAGTGTGGCAGAACTCTTTAATCCCCAAGCCCCAGGTGTTCCCTCCTCCCTGAGTGTTGTCCTCTGATTCCCACCCAGGAGGGGGGGCTCCCACGCGATTTCTTGGTATCTCTTTAGGATGACGCCTGACTCCCTCCCACTGTGTAGGTGAGGAAATCGAGGCAGCAGAGAGGCCGAGGGGCCATAACGTGCACAGAATTCAGGGTCTTCTCCTTTAGCCCTGGCCAGTGGCTGGCCTGGAGCCTATGTGACCTGTTTGAACCCACCTGGAGGGCAGCAGTAGAGGAGGAGGGCTAAGCCTGCGGCCAGGCCCAGGCCTGCCAGGAAGCTCATGGGTCCTGGGGGAAAAGGAATGGTAGTCATTTGCCAGGTTAGTGAAAACCTCAGGGGCTGTCCACCAACACGAAGGTAAGAATGGAGCCCAGCCTTGGGATGGAGAAGCCCAGGGACCAAGACGGAGCCTAGAGGTGGGGAGGGGGAGGGAGGGAGATAGAGAGAAAAAGAGAGGGAGGCAGCCGAGCGTGTTACCCCGGTCACTCAGCTCGTGGCTCTCGCTGCCCCAGTCGAGCTCTGTGTACTCTGAGTTCTCTGGAAACAAAATCACAGAGCACTGTTAGTCAAGGCCTGGACCTGAGAGCACCCCCACGGGATACCCAAGGCTGCATCTACCTCCAGAGGCTGCTGGTCCCATGTGGCCCTGAGATGCCAGGACATAGTGCAGTTAGACCCTCAGGGAAGCCCCTGGTTTCCTGGCCACATAATACCTAATACAGCAGAGTATCCATGATGGAATCTGACTGCTATCTTCATGAGCTGTCAGGCCAGGCACAGGGGGCAGGGCAGGACAGGAAGCTTTAGCTCTAGATCTTCCTGTTGGACCTCTGCAGGCAGCCCACCTGCCAGACAGACCATGGGGGTACCTAGGAGCCATGGAAGCTGCTTTATCTCCTGAAGAGGTGTGGCTCTACCTAGCTATCTTCTGAAAGACCCCTGGAACAGTCAGCTGGGGTGAGAGGGCCTATCTGCCCCATCCTTGAGCAACTATACTGAGTCCTGAGAGATCTGGGGATGCATTATTGGGATGAGACTCCTGGCAAAGGGGCTTGGGCTAGGCCACCTCATTCCTCTGGCTGAGAACAGTATCCCTTACGCCTACCCCAAAAGGGTACTAGCATCCTAGCCTGGCTATGCCCTGCTCGATCCAACAAGCTTAGAGGGAGAGCTGGGGGAGCACAAGCCTCTGCCCAGCCCTCTGCACCCGAGGACACCTCACAGAAACACCACATATTTAAATTGGCACACAACCCCAATGCCTATGGTAGACAGGGTTACGTCAAGGCTGGAATGGCCTAGGAGCACCTTACACTGTGAGGACAAGGCTGACTTCATGAATATAAAGTCATCTGCATTCACATGAGGGTATAAAAGGAAGAAGACCAGATGTATGGGATGCAGGCTGCAGTGTGAAAACCGGCATAAGAGCCAGGTGCTGTGGCTCATGCCTGTAATTCTAGCTATTTAGGAGGCTGAGATCTGAGGATCACAGTTCAAAGTCAGCTGGGGCAGAAAAGTACCAATGAGACTCTTATCTCCAGTTAACTACTGGAGCTGTGGCTCAAAGTGACAGAGCATTAGCCTGGAGCAAAAGAGCTCAGGGACAGCTCCCAGGCCCTGAGTTCAAGCTTCAGGACTAACAAAAAAGAAAAAAAGAAAAAAAAAACCTGCACAAGAAGAGAGGTAGGGAGAGGGATGAAGAGTCAGAGGGATGGAGAGAGGAAGAGAGAGAGAAGGAAAGAGGGAAGGAAAAGGAGAAAGAGTGAGGCAGATAGACAGGCAGACAGACAGCAGTGCCTATGAGATTCTTGCTGGGAGGCCACAGGGTAGTCTCTGGGGAGGAGCTGTGCTGCTGCAGCTTCAGATGGACACCCAGGATGTCCAAGACATAGCCATCTGACAGAATGGCCTTCCTAGACCATCACTGGGCCAGTGGTGATGGTGGGGAGGTGGCACTTACGCAGGGTACAGCGGCTGGGCAGGCAGCTGTGCAGAGGCTGGGCGTGGATGTACAGGGCTCGGTAGAACTCCTGGCAGTGCCGCTCGCCTCTCTGCTGCAGGTGGCTCAGGAGGTCACAGAGCCGCACACGCAAGGAGGCCTTGGGGTTCCGGAACTGAGGACAGAGGGAAGAGCATGCTGGAGGGGCAGCTGTGGCTAGGGTGGAACCCCTGGCTCAGGATCCCAGCCTCAGTGTCTTCTCCAGGTATGGGAACCTCTAGTGCCCCTCACCACACCTGCATGGAGCCCAGCACTGCCACAGTTAGGGGCATTACTGCCAATCCTCACTTCCCATAGAGTAGAGAATGGCCAACTGAGGCTGAGACACCACAAAACAAGCATGGGGCAGGGGAGGTCACCCTAAGTGGTAAGACTCGGTATGACTTCCTGTGTGGCCTCACGAAGTCACTGCAAACCACTGAGACTTGTTTTTCTTTATTTGTAAAACATGAATAATAAATAATAAGTTGTAGGGTCATTGAAGAGATGACATAAGTGATAACTGCTATTATTTTACAGTTATAGGAACCTGAATCAGATCTTTGAAATACTAGCTGAGAAAAAATGGTTTTTTCTGATGTATTTGATGAGCCAGCATGTAGTTTTAAGGGTCAGTGGACAGGGCATTCTGCATTGACCCCAGGGGCCAGGAAGCTATGGCCTCGCGCTGCCCCCTGGTGGCTGTACTCATTGCTATAGAGGAGTAAAGTTGAGCCATACATCAATAAGGCTTGAGGTACCTGTGAGAAACTTCTTGAAACTTTTTGAAACTGAGCATGTGTAAGATTTTTAGTTATAGTAGTGAGATTATTTGAGCTGTTAGGTTTTAAATCACTGTATGACTCTCATAATGTGGCCAACATCTGAGCTGGTAGCCGTCTGGTTCTGTCCTGACCAACCTTACCTGTTCTAGGGGTCTCAAACTTGTGACCTCTCAACAAGTGGGGAAACTTTAGTTCCAAGACAGGAAGATACTCAACAGAACAGCATGGACTAGGCATGGACCACAAAAGCCTAACAGGACTCTGGTACCAACAGCCAGGCCCTCCATTGTCAGAGACCACTGCTAAGGAGGAGGTAGCTCAGGGCCGGAGTTGGAGTTTGGGGCCTGGCAGGCTCAACTCCCACCTGTACCCCTGAAGCCCAAAGCCTCTCAGGTCCCTCAGGTCCCCCAGGCCCGGGGAGGTAGTCAGGATTAGACCTCTTGGGACAGAGCCCAGGAACTGCCTCTCACATGCCATCCCCAGCACATCACATCTCTGCGGGGCCAAGCCTGATAAGGGTGACCCTGGGCACATGACTGCCTCTTAGGCCTCAGCAGCCTTCTTTGTACAGGCTGTGAAGGAGCATGCATGGCACCATTTACCAGGTGGGCAAGTCTGCACCACAGCGTGCAAGCACAGGACTCTCATGCCTACTGCACAGACAGGGAAGCTAAAGCTCCCAACACGACTATTCTCCCTGAGCTCTGCTGCGTAGCATAGGGCAAATCCAGCTCCTGCCTGCCATATGGTCAGAGGGGCTGGGCCTTCCAGCTCACATACTCAAGGAAGAAATGAAGAGAGAAAAAGTACTGACTTTGAACCTCTGTGTGGCATCAGAGTGATGCCAGGCCCAGACTTTAGACCCACCCTCTGTTTCCTGCTTCTGGTCTTACACTGCTATGTATGATTGTATGTTGTCACGTGTTGTGGGATGTGGTCACAGCAGGCAAGAGGACATGAACAGCGCTGATGTTCTGGGGTTACTTGGGGTCACTCGGCAGTTGTTTGGTTTTTTGTTTTGCGGGAGGGGGGGCAGTTGTGGGGATTGAACTCGGCCTGAATGTTGTCCCTGAGCTCTTCAGCTCAAGTCAAGTGCTCTAACACTTGAGCCACAGCATCACTTCCAGTTTTCTGGTGGTTAATTGGAGATAAGAGTCTCACGGACTTTCCTGCCCAGGCTGGCTTTGAACCACGATTCTCAGATGTCAGCCTCTTGAGTAGCTAGGATTACAGGCGTAAGCCATATGCACCCAGCTACTCAGGCATTTTTGAGCTCTGGTAGCCTTGGTATCCAAGCCCAGGTATGCCACCTGAGACTATCCTGGTGGGCCATCCCTTGAGAAAATGACTCAAAGCTAACTCCAACAGCTTCCCCCAGCCCAGAAAGAAAGGGAAATGGAGAGGCGGCTTGGGCTCCCCCACCCTCATCTCCTCAGCACCTTTTCGGCTTCCTTGTTGGTGAGGATCTGTGGGTAGTAACGGTTCAGCTGGAGAATGATCCTGTCCACCTGCTGCTCACTCAGGCGCCCCTGGCCTGTCAGGAAAGGTGTGTCCTGCACCAGACGGTCACAGTAGGTCTGATCTGAAACACGTGGGGAGCGCAGGACATGAGCCAGTGCAGCCCTAAGGGGGCCAAAGATGGCTCCCTTGGTTTTGACCTCTGGAGTCTCCACACATTGCTGGAAGGGTGATGAATTCCCTCAAGGGTATACCTGCCAGACTGCCGACAGCTCATGCAGTGGCCATCATATACAGGGAAAGCTACCAACCAACCAACTCACCTTGCCAAAAGATGGAAGTGGGCAGGCTTGGCAGAAACCCAGAAAAGGACATATTCTCCAGCTCCTCTTCTATGCCCAAGAGCTTACCACAGAAAATAAACTCAGAAGGGTGAATATGCCATCCCACAGGCACCCAGAATGCCATCTGAAAATAGGTAGCACCTAGGGAAGTCATACGAACTCAAAGAAGGCCCACTTCTGAGCAGTACAGCAACCCTCGGCCGTGTAGCTGCAAGAACATGAGGCTCAGGCTGGCCTGTGCTGGGATCACCATGGGACAAGGCAGTCAGGAAGGCCTTAAAGCTCCCACCACCAGCAGCCCAACAAACCATCCAAGGAAGGGCCTTACCCTTTGGTTTTTCTATCAGAAGTCATCATTAAAGGGGGTTGGGAATGTGGCTTAGTGGTAGAGTGCTTGCCTAGCATGCATGAAGCCCTAGGTTCGATTCCTCTTTATTACATAAACAGAAAAAGCCAGAAGTGGTGCTGTGGCTCAAGTGGTAGAGTGTTACCCTTCAGCAAAAGAAGCTCAGGGACAGCACCCAGGCCCTGAGTTCAAGTCTCAGGACTGGCAAAACACATACACACACATACACACACACACACAAACACAATCAAATCACCATTAAAGCACTTACATTGTAGATAACATGTTAGGTTTGATCCCAACAAATACACACACACACACACACACACACACACACACACACACACACTCTCCACAGAAGACAGATCTTTAAAGCTGAGGGGTAGAGAAGATATAAACAGGCATGGGGGGGGGGTCACAGGATCCTTCTGGAAACCTTATAGACATATGGCCACTTGTCTAAAAACTAAATCATGAATAAATAAGAACATCTGACAAGACCTCTAATTACTTAGAAGGTTTAATTCAGTAATCAAAACTGCCCCAAGAAGGAAAAGCTAAGACCACATGGTTTCTCTGATGAATTCTACCAAGCATTTTAAAATGAGTCAACACAAATCCTACCTCTTACAAGACATTGAAGAGGAAAGAACACTTCATAACTATTACATGACGTCAGAATTATGATGATACTCAAATCAGACAAGTACACAATAAGAAAATAAATTATACAGCATACCATTTATGAATATTAATGTAAAAATCCTCAACAAAATATTCATAATCCAAATTCAGCAGCATAGTAAAAGAATTATACGGATTTATTCTTTTTTTTTTTTGGGTCCGGTCGTGGGGCCTGAACTCTGGGCCTGGGCACTGTCCCTCAGCTCTTCAGCTCAAGGCTAGCACTCTACCACTTGAGCTACAGTGTCACTTCCGGCTTTTTTCTTATGTGGTGCTGAGGAATCAAACCCAGGGCCTCATACATGCAAGGCAAGTGCTCTACCACTGAGCCACCTTCCCAGCCCCATGGATTTATTCTTGATATGATGGTTCAAATACAAAAATAGGATGTAACAGATCATACTAACAGAATGAAAAAATATATAATTTCAATTGATGCAGAAAAAGAATCTTACAAAATTCACCACTTTTTCTTGATATCAATACTCAATTAATTAGAAATAGAAGATGCTAGGTTTTGAATGTGAATGTGTTGGAAAATTCATGCCCAATATAAGTGTTGGGAGGTGGAGCCTAGTAGGAGATGTTTAGATGATGAAGCTCTACCCTTGTAAATTACTGGTTATTAATGCTAGTTATAGGAAGTTTACCATCATATTCTTTCCTTCCCTTATACATAACAAGAAGGCTTTTTACTTCCAGAACTACTTAGCCATCAAAACTATAAGCCAGAAATTGTCTGTTCATTGTAAGTTATCCAGTGTCGAGTTCTCTCATGTTGCACAAAGCAGATTAAGGCAGAGGGAAATGTCTTCAACATGGTTCAAGCCATAAATTATATATATATATATATATATATATATATATATATATATCACAGCAATCACGCTGAATGATGAAAGCTTTTCCTCTAGAGACAGAAACAAGACAAGGATGCCTCCTCCTGCCACTTCCATTCAGTGTAATTGTAAATGCTCTAGCCAGAGCAATTAGACAAGAAAAGTAAAGGCATCCAAATTGGAAAGGAAGAAGAAAATTTATCTTTACAAATGGCATGGTTTTATATAGAAGAAAAAATCATAGTTGGGTACCTGTGGCTTATGCCTGTAATCAATCCTAGCTACTCAGGAGGCTGGGATTTGAGTATCACAGATCAAAGCCAGCCTGGGCAGGAAAGTCAGTGAAACTCTCTTATCTCCAATTAACCACTAGAACCCTGATAGTGGCACTATGGCTCAAAGTGGCAGAGCACTTTGAAAAAGCTCAGGGACAATGCCCAGACCCTGAGTTCAAGCCCCATGACCACCACCACCAACAACAACAAAAAACTTAGTCTTCTTAAAAAACTGCTAAGCTAATCAACATATGCAGTAAGACTGCAAGACATGAAGTCAAAACTGTTATATACTAACAATGAACAATTCAAAAATAAAAAATTCCATCTATAATGGCATTAAAGTGAACAAAATAAAAATAAATTTAATCAAGGAGGCAAAAAATGTACACTGTTAAAAAATGAACATCTAACAAAAAGGAAAGATGTCTCACATTCTTGGATTAGAGGATAATACTATAACAATGAGGACACAACTCAAAGCAATCCACAGACAATGCTATCTCTATCAAAACCCCAAAAGTGTTTTGTTGTTGTTTTGCAGAAACAGAAAAATCCATCCTGAAATTTATGTAGAATTTCAAAGCATTTAATAGCCAAAACAATATTTAAAAAGAATAATTTTGGAAGACTCCGAGTATCTGACTTTAAAACTCACCAAAGTAAAATACACAAAACAATGTAGTACTGAATGAGACTGAGCCCAGAATGAAACCTATATATGAGAATCTTTACAGTTCCATTCCAAGTGATAAGAAAAAATTCAAGCAACATGCAAATTCCTACTCTCCGGTGTTACTTCCCTATTTTTTTAGGAATCTGACTGCAAAGCTGAAACTGATTAGAAAATAATAATTGTTATATATTTGATATAATTATATTTTACATAATTATATAATAATAATAAGTAGTAGTAGTACTAGAGCTTGAATTCAGGCCCTTATTTTCTTGCTTAGCTTTTTTTGTTCAAGGCTGATGTTCTAACACTGGAGCCACAGCTCCAGTTATGAATTTTTGCTGGTTAATTGAAGACAAGGTTTCATGAACTTTTCTGCCCAGGCTAGTTTCAAACCATGATTCTCAGATCTCAGCCTCCTGAGTAGCTAGAACACACAGGACCAACCAATGCCCAACCTAGAAAATTCTTTATAGTTTAAAATATTTTTCCCCTCTTAGGAGAATTCAAATAGCTAGCCATCAAAACTAAAAATAAATGGAATTATTAAAGTCAACTCAGTTATTGCTATTAGATCCATTTTGTTTGTATGTGTCCAAAGTATAAAATGAATAATTATTTATATTCAAATTAATCTGTTTTTAAAATACTACTTAAAACTTTGACTGTCTTCTGGTTTTTGAAACACAATGAAAGTCTGGGGTTTTTTTGTGCAGATGAAAATACTTGGCAGCTTCAACTGTTCTTAATTCTCTTTCTGATGTGGCTGTTGTTCATTAAGACTTTAAGGAAAGGCGTGCATTCCATTGTCTTACATCTTCTAAGTCTACTTACAAAATAGTTAGTAGATGGATGATGAAATGGGATGCAAAGGACCTTTTGGAGTGACAGAAACATTGTTTTGATCTGCCTTGTCAAAACTTTTCAAACTTTATTAAAAATGAGTGCATTGCTTGTAAGTAGATAAACAAAATAACTGATATATTGGAAAAGGTGGGCCATTTTCTCTGGTTTCACCCATGGGGCACAGTATTCAAATGCGGTCTTTCTCATATCTCCATCCTTTTGGCTGGTCTTTCTTCCGCTTTTTGAATTCTCATACCATTGAAGCAAGCCATGCTCTATAGGGTCCTGTGTGGTCAGGACCCTGCACTAGTAAGTCAAATGTGTCCTCCAGGGGATTATGATGTAAGGGTGGGGTCCGCATTCATGAGGCTGCCTACCCAAAGGTTCTATCCACTATGCCTGTCCTCCAGAGGACAAATGGAGGGAGTTGTCCTGGTTCTCCAGGCCTACTCTTTGGGCCATCAGCCACCATCTCTGATCACAAAGGCGGCAGTTAGGGACTCCGAATGCTGGCTAAACCCTCACCGCCTATGTGGAAGATAAGACTCTTCAGCTGCCCCAGGGATCTGCCAAAGCTACATGGCCAGCTACATCTGGCAGCCTGGCTCCAGCACCTGCTGCCTCTCTCACTGGAAAGTTAAAATGAATCCTAGTCAAGTTCATGGAGAAATCCCATGAGCCAGGCATTCTGTAGACTCTACACCTACCTACCTCTGCCCTTCCTCCAGTTTGCAAGATAAGCATAACCACCACCCTCAATTTCAGACAAAGAAACAGAGGTATAGCAAGAAGACAAGGTATGTATTTAAGACTGCAGTCAGCTAGGCAGATCTGAGGTCTGGACCCAAACACAGGCATATTGGGGCTACCTCTTCATACCCAAATATCCTAGCTCTCCTGTTAACACATGGATCAGCCATGTAATAGGCTACATGAATCTGTCCTCTGCCAGACAGGAGCAGGCCCAAGACTGCTTATATCAATGTGCATAGGGATGAGTACACAATAGGCATGCACTAAAGAGTTCCACAATAAATGGGCATCAGTCCAATGCCTAGGGCAAGATCTGTTGGTGGACAGCGCCCTGTAGCAGCCTCCTCCCACCCTGTGAGCCCAGCAGGGCCTCTGCTGCCCACAAAGCATGAGTCACTGGAGTCCTGAGTCACCAGGCACAAGTAGCATAGCCCAGGGGCTGAGGCTGCCTGTGCAGCTCTGAGGCTCTCAGTTTCCTACATTTCCTGTGGTTCTTGTGAGCTATGCATGCAAAACCCATACAGGCAACCACTGGGAAGCCCCTGTCCAAGTGCCAGGCCCTGGTAAACAACAGCCAGGACTGTCTTCACAGGACAAAGGAAGACTCTCAAATTCCACATTCCCACTTCCTGTCTCACTGGCACCAGGATCATAGACCCCACCCACTCTAGCCTGAACTTCCTTCTCAGCTTAGACCAAAGCCTTCAGCCTGTTATTTGAGCCCCGGAGCATCCAGCCCCACATCCTTATTCAGCCCCTTCCTGCTTGGCAGCTCCTAACTACACCACAGTTGGGGACAGTGAAGCCTCCTTGAGGTTCCCCCTCCCCTCCCCTTATCCTACTGAGGTTACAACACTTGGCCATCAACCTCCCTCCAAATTGCTCTCAGAGGACCCTCTTACACCAGCACCCAGTACGGCTAAGATCACTCCATCACTAGGCAGCTAACTTATTAAGCACCTGTCCTGTGCAGACACCATCAGTGTTTGGCAGTCAGTGTTTGGCAGTCACTGGCTCACACATATGCTTGCTGGCAGCAAAGACTAGGGAAAGGCAGGCCCCCAGGCAGTACAGATGCAAAGTCCCTTCAAGTAAGAAACCTCAGATTACCTACTCCCTCCCTAGCATGCTGCCTCAGTCTCCACCAACACCCAGTTCATGGCAGGGCTCCATGGAGGCAACACAACTCTAAGTTATGCATCTCATGCACCCTGATGAACTTGCTTTCAAGTTGCTAGGAAACCAGGAGTCTGGACATGCATCGCATAGACCTGAGTGCTGGGGCCAGGGCTTGGTTCTCTTTTCCACTGACCAGCAGAGTAGCCAGGGTACCTATTCAACCCGATGTTGTTTTTCTATTCATACACAGACATCCCCATACAGTTATAGGTAGTGCCTCAGGAGGAACCTCAGGTGTAATATACGCTTAGAAATAGCAACCAGAAGCAAGAAGAGTTGACAAAGGGAAGCAGGTGACAACAGAAGTCTCTTCTAGCCTGGTTGTCTTGAAAGTCATCAGGTTTCAGCCCACGAAACCCTATTTTGGTACAAGCTATGACCAGAGAGGGCTGGGTACTTGTGGCTCCACTCTGACACCCTGGGTCACCTTCCACTACATGAAGCCGAAAAGTGAACAGAGCGACCCCACAGGACTCAAACAGTTTGCCATGGGGTCCTTCCCTGGCGTCTGAGCCTCCTGAGCTCCTCTTACAGAGCAAAGTCGGAAAGAAAGTGGGCGGAACCCAGCTCAGGAGTGGGCAGGCCGGGCTGGGCCCATCCCAAGCGGATGCGGGGAGTCCAGTTGCTGGCTCTGATTCGCCCCCGTCCTCTCTGGGGTAAGGGAATGCAGAGTCCCAGGCGCCCCCGGAGCAGCAGTAGGAGAGTCCCACGGGTACCACGCCGTGCCCAGGAAGGCAACCCCGATCTCAGCCCCAGCGCACCGCACCCCGCGCGCGGCCCGACGCCGCTGCGATCCACGAACGCAGCCGCAGGGCCGCGACCTCGCCCCGCCCCGGCCTCCGAGCTTACCTGCTGCTCTGCCTCTTCAAGCCTGCACCTGGGCGCCCCACTTCCCGTGCCTCCCAGCCCCCCGGCGCCCCCGGCCCGGCCGCGCAAAGCCCGGGAGCCCCCCGTCCCGCCCCGCGGGTGCACCCGCGCCGCCGCCCACAGCTGACAGCCAAGGTCAACGCCAGGCTGGCCCTGTGCCCACCTGTCATGGCGGCAGACACGGCGCCACCCCGCTGTCCCCGGCTGTCCGCCGCCCGGCCCACCGGCTCCGGTGACCGCCGCCCCGCAGGCTGGGCTCTAAGCCCAGCCTCTTCCCGCTAAGTCCCTCCCGGCTGCGACCGCGACGAGGCTGCCACCCTAAATACCGCCCCTCAACTAGCCACGCCCCTCTCCGTCCCGGCTGGGACGCTGCGCCGAGCCCGGAGCGCCGTCCTATCACCGGCCTTTCCCGGCCCAGTGTCAGTAGCGACTAGCGCAGAACTGTGAGTAAACCCGGGCGCTCACAGAACCACGCCCCCGACAGTGTCAGTTACCTCGCCACGTGGAACCCTGGGCCCCGCCCACGTCCGGAGGGCTGTAAGCCCCTCCTCTCGCTCTGAGCCACGCCTTTCACACAAGTCCCGCCCCCGTCTCCAATTAGCCAATGCGCGCCTCACTTGAGCCCTCCGGTTCTTGGTCCCGCCCTCCCAGGCTCCACCATTGCTAGCCGCGGGCTTGGGATCCTGGTGTCTCGGACTTGCTGGCCCTGCCAGCCTGTGGAGCTCCACCCTGGGCTATCGCACCCCACCTCCAAGATGAAGAAAATGAGACTCAGAGGAGATATGAGTCATTCAAGGTCATGTAAGTCAGGTATGGGGCAAAAGGCTTGTCTGAATCCAGTCCAGTATAGCCTTTCCTATATCAGCCAAAGTAGGTTTGATTTTTGCATCCGAGCAAGCGGGGCTTGGACAGTGGTGCCCAGGGGAAAGTTGGGACTGAAGAGTGCGACCCATTACCTGTTGAGTTCCCACTTGCAGAAGGGAACACCAGCCTGGCACTGTGGCTCTCACTAGGGAAGTCATTTAACTTGTCTGAGCATCAGTTTCCCGAAATGAGCGACCTCAGACAAATCTCTCCACCTGTTTCCCTTCCTTTCCAGCTCTGATGCCCAACAAAAGAATCCCCCAGCACTATATGATGCTGTCAAATGTGCCAAGTTGTGGTTAGGAAATGGAGCTGGGGGAGGCTGGGAGAGCAAGGCAGGGTTCTCAGCTAGCTATGACTCCAAGCATTTTGTTTTGTTTCCTTTGAGGCATTGTACCCTTACCTAGAATGGGGGAGCCTTACCACAAAAGTCCCTGTGGTCTTTGTGCCCTTCATCTTTCTGCCTCAGTTTTCTCCCCTGTGCTGCAGTTTATCTTCTCATATGAAGTACCTTGAGATTAGGTTGTAATGGCCTCTTGGACACCACAAACTCTCAGGCCCACTGGTGGTGGTCAATACACACACACACACACGCACACAGATGAACCCTACACACACACACACACACACACACACACAGATGAACCCTATTCAGGTTCCTCACAGGCCCAAGAGATTCAAAGCAAGTAAGCAGCAACTCTCAGTCTGCACAGAGGACAACATGCTTAGCCTGCCCTAGGTGAGGTGATATGCACTCAGCCTCTGAGTGTGTGTGGGGGGGGGCGGGGGGGGGTGAATCCAGGCTAGATTTCGCTAGATCTAGGACTTACCTCCTGTGGGAATGCTACAGAGCCCACTGGGGACACAGCCTAACCCTAGTCATTCATCCATCATACTGTATTATGGTGACTGGCATTGACCACCTCTACACTCATTTCACTCCTGAGGAGAATGTCAGAATCACAAGTGCTGGGACTGGGTGAGACAGGGAGGACTCCAAGTGCCGCCTACCTTTGGCATTGGCAACCTTTTCCTCTCTCAGGAAGACCAGCATTCTACCTTCATGTCTGTGATGTGCCATTTTCAAGACAAAGCATCTAACCCTGAGTGAAAAGTTGCTCACACAATTACTTAGCAGCTTAGTGACTGATTCCCACAACTTGGAAGATGAAGAGTAGGCAAATAGGTCATCAGAAAGGGGCATCAACTAGCATGGAGAAGATAAAATGTGCTTCCTAGCACATACTCATTTTACCAAAAGAGCCTTCCCCACAAGTGGAGACAGACCTTTTTCTAAAATTCAACCAATTCCAAAAGATGTATGTGTTAAAATTACTTAATAAAACTGAAGGTTGGTATTTTCAAATTAGAGAATAAATTGTTTGGTATAATCTCTCTCGGTGTCTTTGGCCCACCAGACACTCAATCACAGTTCAAAGCCAGTCTGAGCAGGAAAATCAGTGAGACTCTGATCTCCAATAAACTATCCAAAAAGCCAGAAGTGGCACGGTGGCTCAAGTGGTAGAGTGCTAGCCCTGAGCAAAAGAAGCTCAAGGACAGCACCCAGGCCCTGAGTTCAAACCCCAGGACTGGGAGGAAAAAAAAGGACAGAAAGGAAGAAATACAGACAGGATTACAGTGCCAGGGTAGCCTTGAGAGGCTGAGGGTGAAGACCTAGGCTGGAGGACATGGTGCCTATGGGCTGTGGGAGGCCGATGTGGCTAGAGATAACCATGACCAAAAAGGCAGTGGTGGCTGCTAAGGAAGCTGAATACAAAAAGAACAAGGATATTCCTTTCTCACTTGCCCACATGGCCAGAGGCCATCATGGGTCCTTCATTTATTCATTCACTCACTCAACAATGTCTCTTAAACATGCACCCCATCCAGAGGTAGATCATAGGGAAGGCAGAAGCTTTTCTCCAGTATTGAAGGATGCAGACACCTATCTGTGTGAAGAAGATTCATGCAAAGGAAGAGACCAAAAATGTCTGGTAAGACTGCTAGCCTTTAAGATGACCCCAGCAATCCTTAAAGCCTGAGTGATTCCTTCATGCCACCTCCTCCAGTGAACCAGGCTTGTCTGTGTGACCAGCAAAGTATGGAAGAAGTGAGGTATGCAACATCTGGGACTGGGTCACAGAAGCATTGTAGTTTCAGTCAAGTTCTTTTGAGTAGCATCTGCTATGGGGGTACTGGCCACCATATCAAGGGTGCTCAAGCAGCCCTTCAGAGGTGTGTGTGTGTGTGCGCGCACACGCAAGTGCACGCACGTGCATGCACACACACATGTTCATGAACGCATACATGCCAGGCTTGAACTCAGGACCTCATGCTGTTGTTTAGCTGATGCTCTACTACTTGAGCCACACCTCCAGCCCAGCTTTTTGCAGGTTATTTTTTGGAGATGGAGTCTCACAGATTTTTCTGCCCAGGCTGCCTTTGAACTGTGATTCTTTAAGTCTCAGTATCTTGTGAGCCACCAGCACCTGACTTTTTTGTTTTTATTTAGTGCTGGGGATGGAATTCAAGAACTTAGGCATACTAGGCAAACACTCTCACCACTGAGCTATACCCAACCATTCTACCTGGTTATTTGAATGATATTATTTTAGTATCTATAGCTAGTATGTGGCTGATTCCCATGTCTTTCTTTTGGTAACTTAGTTGTTGTTTTTTAAGTTTTTATTGCTTTTATAAAGGTACAGAGGTTTACAGTTAACAAGTCAGGTAACAAGTACATTTCTTTGGACAATGTCATCCCTTCCTTCACACTAGTAACTTAGTTTTGAGATGTGCAGAATTGGGGGGTGGTCTAGAGTGCTACATTTTGGGGTGGAGCTCACAGCCCACAGTTCTGTTGAGCAGTACCTCCTGCCCTGCAAGCTTGCACATCATTTTCCTCCTGCCTATCTACTTACTATGGCCATCTGGATACTTCTTTTCCTCTTTCCTTTTTTTGCAATGCCAGGATTTAACCCAGGGCCTCAAGCTTTCTAGACAAACATTCTATCACTTTAGTTATGCAGCCCCCACTCCCCTCTCTTTCTCTCTAAGAGAGAAAAAGATTCTAAGAGAGAATCTTACTACTTTATCTGGTATCTCCTTGAACCATTATTCTCTTTCCTCTGCTTCCCAAGTAGCTTGATTACAGGCATGCATCACTACACTCTGGACGTATATTTGTAACTCATATCTGAGAGCCAGAACCTTTTATCCTAATCCTCCCTTCCCCCACCTCTGCTCCAGTAACACAAACTTACTTAACTATGTGGGAACAAACACACAGTCATCACCCCTTGCTAATCTCCAAACCTTCACGTAGATCTCTAGAGCCCTAGTCTATCCTGTCTCAACTTCTGCCATTTTGACTACCACCTAACCCTGTTAGGGTTAAGGGCTGGGACCTAGCACAAAAAAAACCCTGAATGCTTTTTGTCATCCATGCCAAAGCCTGGCCAGAGTTGCTGAAGTCCCAAAAGAGGTTGAGTGGTTTCTTTGTGTGTGCATGCTGGTACTCAACCTTGAGCTCAGGGCTAGGGCACTGTCCCTTAGCTTTTTAACTCAAGGCTGGGGCTCTATCACTAGAGCCATAGTCCTACTTCCAGCTTTTTGGTGGTTAATTGGAGACAAGAGTCTTATGGACTTGTCTACCCAGGCTGTCTTTGGACCACAATCCTCTAATCTCAGCCTCCTGAGTAGCTAGGATTATGGGTGTGAGCCACCAGAGCCTGGCTAGTGACTGTTACCATGGAAGCTAGCTGCCATCAGCAACTCCAGATCTGAGTGACCAGCCTTCCATGAGACTCCATGCAGCCACTTCTGACTGCACACACCAACTGCAGGAAGGGATCAAGAACTCAGCTGTGTTTCCACTCAGCCCAGAACATCACATAGTAAGAATACACAATTATAGTTTATTCCAAGAGGTTTAAGGCTCTAGAGGGATAGGCAAATGGCACAGTGGTTTCTACCTTTGTGGTTTTTAGGAGTAGGAGAGACTTTATTTCCCTCACCTGACGTTATGGACAATGGATGCAGAGCCTTGGGCAGGGCCTTGATTCAAAGATGCTGAGGTGGATAGCCAGGCACTTGTGGCTCACACCTGTAATCCTAACTACTCAAGAGGTTGAGATCTGAGGATCATGGTTGGAACAGCCAGGCAGAAAAGTCTGAGAGACTCTCATCTTCAATTAACCAGCAAAAAGCTGGAAGTGCTCTGGTGGTAGAGCACCAGCCTTAAACAAAAAAAGCCAAGTGAGAGCAGAGGCTCCAAGTTCAAACCCCAGTACCAGCACAAATTTTCACAATTAAAAAAAAAGCACAAAGAAACAAAAATAATAAAGCCAGGTGGGGGCTGGGAAGGTGGCTCAGTGATAGAGCGCTTGCCTTGCATGTATGAAGCCCTGGGTTCGATTCCTCAGCACCACATAAGCAAAAAAGAAAAAAAAAACGGAAGTGGCTCTGTGACTCAAGTGGTAGAGTGCTAGCCTTGAGCTGAAGAGCTGAGGGACAGTGCCCAGGCCCAGAGTTGAGGCCTCACAACCGGACCAAAATAAATAAATAAATAAAGCTAGGTGCTGGTAGCTCACACCTCGAATCCTAGCTACTCAGGAGGCTGAGATCTGAGGATCACAGTTCAAAGCCAGCCCGGGCAGGAAAGTCCGTGAGACTCTTATCTCCAATTAACCACCAGAAAACCAGAAGTGACGCTGTAGCTCAAGTGGTAGAGCACTTGTCTTAAGCTGAAGAATTCAGGGACAGCACCCAGGCCCAGAGTTCAAGCCCCACAACCGACTAATAATAATAATAATAAATAATAATCTGAAGTAATCATCTATGCTTGCTGAAAAGTATTTTATTGCTGTTCTTTTATTCTACTATGCAAAACTAGATTTACTTAAAGTGTCTCACAGTTTCTTTAAAGGAACCCTGGTTGGAGGGAAGCTGCCCAGGGACATTGGTCCAGCAGCTGCTTCAGTGTCATTACTACAAGATCTCCACAGGACTCCCCTGGAACAGAACACTTCCCACTGGGGCCTCAGCCTTCAGTGGCAGCTTGACTCCTTACACCTGGGAGCAGAGTTCTCTGGCCATCCTCCAGCTGGACATGTTGCATTACAGGTACCTGACTGGTGGGGTCACCCTGGAAGGTACATGGCAGGCCGTGTGGTTATCCTTGTGGTGGACCGGGAGCCTGTTAGGCTCTTCCCTGGGCTCACTGTGTGGACCACCACAGGGTTGCATGGTGAGTTGGAGAGGCCACCAGTGCTCGAAGAACCAGGCCCAAAAGTCCAGGGGTCCTTGTCCACATCATGGGTCACACTGGCCAGCCCTCTGATGCCATCACTGAGGTCTCTGTGAGAAGAGGAGACACAGGCTGAGGAAAGTACTCTCTCAGAATGACCTCCAACCCAGCCTCTTCCAGCCTGTTATAGGTCCTTCCAGGTATCCCTCCCAGCCAAGGATCCTCCCATAGTTCCTTCCATAGTTCTGTGGCCACAATGCCCCTAAGGTGAGTGTCTGACCATCTCTAACACAGATCCCCACAGTCTAACAGCTGGTATCTATGAGGAAGAGCCAGGGCAGACCCATGGCCCCAGACAGCATTCGCAGGAGCTCCTGGGCCTCACACATCAGCCAGTGGAACCACAGCTGCCCTCATCCAGAATACCAGATGCCTTAGCGGCAGCCATCCCTTCTCCTATGTCATAGTCTTTTTCTTTATTGGGATACAAGATGGGTAGAGGGTATCACAGGTGGGGGGTACAGCCTAGGAAATGTGACTGTATAAAAAGGAAACTGCTAGCCAGAACTGTGCTAGCCAAACTAAAATAAAAATGAACAGTTGAGTTGACAGGTCAAGCAGTCTCTCATGATACTAAGGTCATGAGAAAAACATTAGCAGGTAATGTGGTGAGCAACCAGCGAATGACTAATACAATGCTATGGGAGGCAAAAGTTTAGGGAAAATATTCTTCCTCAACATTTATCAAAGGAATGTGAAAATGGCCTGCAAAACTTACACTTGTAAAGAAGGGATGAGCAAACCATTAGCATGTGGTCCTTACGCTATGGCTGAATTAACCTGTAGGAAGCTCTGGGAGAAAGAATTGGTAGTGAAAATATTCAAGCTATTTGGCCCAGACACTCCATTTCTGGAATCATCATCAATTTCTAACAATCATCTCAATGAAGAAAACAAAGCTGGGCACAGTGATACATGCATGTAACTCAGGAGACTGAGGAAGAAGAATCACTTGAGCCCAGGAGTTGGATACCAGCCTGGGAAACATGGTGAACTCCCATCTCAGGAGAAAAGGAAAAACAGGACTGGGGATGTAGCTCAGTGGGAGAGTGCTCACCTAGAATGTCGGAGGCCCTGGGCTCAACTACAAAAACAAATCAACAACAAAAGAAACTAGATCTAAACACAAAAACCAGTCAGTAGGGCAGGATCTAAAGGATATAGTGTACTTACTAGTAAAGGCATTGGGTGGTATGAAAGTGTATACAAATGTATTGACTGAAATATGGTAGCTTCCAATGAGAACTCAAATAATGTAATTTCTTAGAAAGGAAAAATCAACATTCAACAAAATAAGCACTGGGAAACAGGTACTTGAAAGGGGCGGGGTGGAGTCAAGGGGCTAGGGGTAGATGAATGAAGAGAAGATGGGAAGAATGCAGTCAAGAATCCAATGTATATCCTACAAAATTGAGGAGAGTGAGGGAAGGGTGGGTAGGGGAGGGATAGATGAAAATGTTGAAAGGGGTGCTATTGATTAAGATACATTGTATTTATAAACTGGTTTGTTAAATGGTGACTCCTTTGTACAGCTATTTAAAATTAATATAAATTGTTAAGAAATAAATGATATAGTACATTTGTAATAATAGCTATTAAGTATGATTCCTAGCTGGGTGTGGTGTGGTGCAGTGTGCATGCCTACAATCCCAGCTAACTATCCAGGAGACAGAGGTAGGAGGATTGTGGTGTGAGGCTGCCTTGGGTGACAGCATGAGACCTTATCTGAAAAACTAAAAAGCAAGCCAGGCGCTGATGGCTCACACCTGTAATCCTAGCTACTCAGGAGGCTGGGATCTGAGGATTATAATTCAAAGTCAGCCCGGGCAGGAAAGTCTATGAGATTCTTATCTCCAAGTGGAGCTGTGGCTCAAGTGGAGAGCACTAGCTTTGAGCGAATAAAAGCTCAGAGACAGCGCCCAGGCCCTAAGTTCAAGCTCCAGGACTAGCTCTCCCCAACAACAACAACAACAAAAACCAAAAGACCTGAAAAGCAAAGGACTAGGGGTGTGGCTCAAGTTTTCCTAACAAATGAGTCCATAAATCTAATACCCAGTACTACTCCAAAAAAGAAAAGAATGAGATTCCTGTTGGGCATGTTGTCCCTCTGCTGTCTCCTCTACTCAGGAGGCTACAAGAGGGAGCCTCAAAGTCTGAGGCCAACCTAGGCAACATTTCAAGGTTTGGAGGCCTCAGAGAGCAGGTAGGACCAGACAGGCCACCCCCATTCCCTGTGCCTCAGTTTCCTTTTCCACATATGAAGTATGAGAATACTGAAGACAATAATGGCCAGGAGTTCCTGACCTCTGACCCCTGAGCCATTGCTTCTGACTTTGTAGGCAAGGTAGCTGAGGTGTGCACTGCCCTAGTGCTGGGAGTGCGTTCTGTCTTTGCTTCAGGAGATCTGGAGGGGAGGAAGGAGGTAAAGAGCAGTACCAAGCTGGTCACAGAAGGTATGAGATGAACCCTGAACACCTTGAGTAAGTAAGAAGACACATCTGAAGGCAGGGCTCCTACAGCAAGAAAGAAAACAGAGCCAGGCACTAGTGGTTCATGTCTCTAATCCTACCTATTCAGAAGGCTGAGATTTGTGGATTGCAGTTTAAAGCCAGGTGGGTCAGGAAAGTCTGTGAGACTCTTATCTCCAATTAACCAGAACAAAACCAAAAGTGAAGCTGTGGCTCAAGTGGTAAAGCACCAGCCATGAGCAAAAAAGCCAAGAGACAGATTCAGGTCTTGTGTTCAAGCCTAAGTATTGGCATAAAAAGAAGAAGAAGAAAAAAGAATCAAAGAGCCCATCTTTGTTTCTCATGGATGGTTTGGTTGAATTACAACACAATGAACAAAGTCACCCCTGAGGCACAGCAAATCAGGCAGTCACCCTGGATCCTGAGCCTAGGGACGGAGTACCTTCTTTATTCCCTGACTGGAGGAATTGGGGACTTTTCCTTGGCAGAGATCCTATGCTTTCCTACAGCTCATTTCTGGGCCCATCTCTAAGACCTGCAAGCAGCCAGGCTAGGAACACACATCTCAGCATGATGGGAGACACCATCCAGACCCAAGTGGGACAGGGTTCTCTGGTAAGACCATAAACCCAGGGTCCTTGGTAAGCCACACCACAAAGGACAACAAATCTGAGTTTAAGGGCTCCAGAGACCTGATAGCCTAGTGTTAGGCATGATCTTGGAGCACAGAGTGGGTGCTGATACTGATGGCAATTCTGGCTGACAGCAAGTCTGGCCGACATTCTCTATGGGCCCTGAGCCACTCGGGTCAGATTTCTGGAGCCGGAAAAAGAACATCCTTATACCAGTTCTGAGGAGAAAGAGACAGAGACAGAGAGACAGACAGAGAGAGGCAGAGAGAGGCAGAGAGCACAGCTGTGTACTTGTGTGTGTGTGCACTCAATTCATGCTTCTGAGAAGGAAAGGGAAAGGGAAGGGAGGACGTGAGAGATGGAGGAAGGAAAAATGGGAGGGGGAGCAATGACTTAGCCTTGTACTGAGTCCTGCTGGGGCTGGGAGGGAACCCAGTCTTGGAGTCATCACAAGCCTTGGCACTCCTGGGGGGTTGAATTCTCATAGTGGGCTGGGTGGGTGGGGGTAGCTCTGAGAACTGAGAAGTCTCTTTCAGGATTCTCTGGTGTTAGGGTTGGGAGTTGAGGCACAGGGCTCTGGTTGCCCCAGGCTCTGGACAAACTGGGAAAAGGTTTTCTGGCCCCCCACATTCCCAACTTGCCCCCAAGCCTGGTGACCCACATAGCAAAGCTGTGGTTGTCATGGGCCTGATTGGACCGGCTTCCTGGCTTGCCACCTCGATCACCACTGCTGCTGTTGTTGAGATTGTGGCTCTTGAGGCCTAGGTATGCCGCTTGTACTGTCTCCAGGTCTTCGCCTCTCAGTTGGTACCACAGCTGGGCTGTCCTGGGGGAAGGGGGAGAGCTCAGGATGAAGGACACTGAGCAGGCACAGGAATGAAGAGGTGGCTCCATACAGCCCAGCATGCCCTCAGGCAGAGGCGGTTGGCAAGCCTCTGTAGGAGCCAGACAGGGGACACTTTTAGGGTCATTTCACCCACCCCAGTTTCTCCTGTAACTTAACTCTGCCTCCACCACTGGAGAGCAGCCAAGAACAGTCACCCAGAAGCATGGCTGTGATCCCATAAAAGGTGACTTAGGAAAACAGACAGTAGATGTTCTAGCTGTGGGCAGTGCTGCTAGCTGAACAGACTTACGAGTGAGTTTGTGCCACTGAACAGCACACTTAGAGATGGCTCAAATGATGCATTCGTGTTATGTATATTTTACCGCAGTCAGACAATACAACCAGAAAAGAATCCATTACTGCCAGGCACCAGTGGCTCAGACTTAGTTACTCAGGAGGCTGAGATATAAAGTTGGTAGCTCAGGGGCTGGGAAGGTGGCTCAGTGGTAGAGCACTTGCCTTTGCATGCATGAGGCCCTGGGTTCGATTCCTCAGCACCACATAAGAAAAAAGAAAAAAGCTGGAAGTGGCACTGTGGCTCAAGTGGTAGAGCTCTAGCCTTGAGCTGAAGCACTGAGGGACAGTGCCCAGGCCCAAGTTCAGGCCCCACGACCGGACCCCCCCCCCAAAATAAATAAATAAATAAATAAAGTTGGTAGCTCAAGACAGTCTGAGCAGGAAAGTCCATGTGATTCTTATCTCCAGTTAACCCGCAAAAAAAGCCATAAGTGGAGTTGTTGCTCAAGTGGTAGGGAGCCAATCCTGAGCAAAAAAACTAAGGGATAGCACCCAGGCCTTGAGTTCAAGCTCCCAGCACTGGTACACACACACACACACACACACACACACATTAGTAACTGTATTAAGAAGCCCTTCAGTGGTCATATTTTGCTTATGGACTGTAATTCTTAAATCTGTGGCACTCACCTCAGCTGTAGGCATTCTTCAGTTGTCCCAAATGCCACTAATGGAGCAGAGTGTTTGTCCTGTGTGTGTGTACACAGGTTTAAGAATAGAAGTCTCAGAGCCACCATGTACCACTTCCACCCCATCCACAGACACAGCTCCAGGATGTCTCTAGCAGCTATGGCAGCATCCCTTGAGCAGGGTGCATCCTAGGGCCACCAGGCCACCATACCTGTTGGAGCGCTGCTGTTCACTCCTCTTCACACACTTGAGGAAGCAGCAGGTGAGGAAGGCCACAGACATGAGCAAGATGATGGCACAGCTCACAATGGAAGCGATGACTGCCACCTTGAAGCCAAAGGTCTCGTGTGGCGGCACAGCTGTTAAGGAGACAACCACCAGCTCCTGGGACAGCTGGCCCAGATCTACCAAGCACAGGGGTCAAGGGTCAAGGGTCAGGGGTTGGGGGGATAGGGGATAGGGGTCAGGCCTTTCTCATTCTCAGTGAACTCTGTTTTGAGAAGAGTCACTGGTGGCTGAGGCAAGAATTGATGCAGATTTCACTTGAGGGGGGCTATCAAGGAAGACTTCCTCTAGGGAGGAAGAACTTGAGTAGGATTCTGCAGGGTATTTAGAAGTTTTCAGGGAGTACAATGGAGTTGCTCTTGCAAGATCAGATAATGGCCTCACTGGCTTGCACTCTTACATCCCTGATTTAGAGCACAAGGCTGAGCTGTGGACCAGATGCTGAAAGATGCACCAAAGTGAACTGTTGAATCAGCCCACTGTTCTGCCCAAGTAGGCAAAACTCTTCAGGGGCCTTCTCTGGTCACTCTACAGGATGAAGCAAAGGCAAAGAAAATATTCATGATTAGGGTCAAAGGACATTTGTATAATCTAAGAACCAGTTCCATAGATTCTTTTTTGTGTGTGTGTGCCATAACTGGAGCTTGAATTCAGGGCATAGGCAGTATGCCTTAGCTTTTTCACTCAAGAATAGCATTCTACCACTTGAGTTGCAGCTCCACTTCTGGGTGGTTAAATGGAGAGAAGATTCTCATAGATTTTCCTGCCCAGGTTGGCTTTGGATTTTAAAACTTAGATCTCAGATTCCTAAGAAGCTAGGATTATAGGCATGAGCCACAGCACCTGGCTCATATCTATAGATTCTAAGGGATGTTCTGGAAGAAAAAAAGATACCAGGGTCTTCATTTGAACAACATATGCTTTTGCCCCAACGTGGACATGGTTCCTGTCTCTAGTCACATTTCCCCTGCTAGATGACAGCAACCCCAACTCCAACTCCAACCCAACCCCAACCAAGGGGATGGAAGAGCTAAGGGAGAAAGGTAGAAGGGATGACATGATCAAGATTCATTATACTCAGAAAGAATGACACCGCCCTATTTGTTAAGAAATGGAAAGACTTGGAAAAAATTATATTAAGTGAAGTAAGCCAGGCCCAAAGAAACATAGGTCCTATGGTTTCCCTTATCTGCAATAACTAGTATATGTCTAGGACAAGCATAAGAGGTCAAAGGCTATGTACATATGACCATATAAACTGATGCTAACCGAAATGAACCCCAAGATAGGAACACAAGCAATTTTATCTTTTTTGTTGTTCTTTTTAATGTACTTATAATGTACTATGTGATTTTTTTGTTTCTTTGTATATTCTTCCCCCATGGTATAACCCCTGTTGTCACTGTATTTGATCTGTGTCCTGCATCTTGTATATACATTTTTCCAATTTGGGGAGGGGAAGGGAAATAACAAAATGCTGAAATAAGGATACAGGTTGACCCATTGTAACAACGAGAAGTACAAGACACTATGTTGAAAACAAACTTTACAACTTTGGTTGGGGGGAGAGGGAGGAGTTGGGGAGGAAAGGGATAGTAGGGAAAAACAAAGAAAGGGGTAACAATGCTCGATAGGAAATGTACTCATTACCTTGCTCATGTAACTGTAACCCCTCTTATAGTATCTTTACAATTGAAAAATATATAAAAGATGCATTATACTCATAAACTGATATGTTAAGTCCATTTATGAGTACAATGCACCTTTGTACAACTACTTAAAGATGAAGATGATAATATTAATTACAAAAACAACAGAACGGAGACCTCCATTGCCCAGCAGTGACACAACTGCGTTCCAGCCAATAGTGGATAAAGAATAGTGGTCAGGGACTACTTCTAAGAATCTTCCTTGAAATGTTGATGTGTGACCTTTGCCCTTAGGGGCCACCATCCTATAAACCCTACTTGAAACAATTGTCACCAACTCAGGTCAACAGTAGGAGCCTGGGTCCCGCTGTAGTGGAGCATGCTCCAAGCCTGGCTATTCATTCTGTAGGGGGAAATGCTACCTTGATTCTATTTGTCATTTGGGGTTTTCTGCCTCTTGGAAACTAGTCCTAACAAATATTGTCACTCTTAAAGATTCACTCAGCATGTGAATAAGTTAAAGGCGCTGAGAAGTTCTGTAGGATATACATACAGCATCAGCCAAGCTATTTTAACTCTGAAGTCATTTTTATGTACAAACACATTAAGATACTAAACAGGGAAATATATTTTGCTTTGGACAATGATGTGTGAGAGTTCCATCTTACTGACTGTTCAATACCCTTAGCCACAGAAAACAACCCCTTCCCTAAGACCAAAAGCCCCATGATCAGACATTCTGGTCTAGTATGTTCCCAGTACCTAGAGTCCTTTTACGTAGAGTAGCCTATTAGGATTTGCCACATGAAGGTAGAGACAGACAGAGGGAGGGAGGAGGAAGGAAGAAGAAGGGAGGATGGGTTTCCTGTTTAATCCGTAGCAAAGCACCTGCTCAGACAACACAGATGGTCTCTTGGGGCTTAGGGGCCAGTGTAAAAGCAAGATTTGAACCAGCAGCTAGGACTAGAGTCCATGCTCAGTCTTGAGGGGTTACTGGCCACTGTCAAGCCACAAGAGATGGAACCTTAAGCACCTGAGAAGCCGATGCCTACACACCTAGGAGTATGCACATGACTGGATTTAGTCCTCTCCCCCGACTCAGCAGCCATTGAACCGATGTGGCTCAGGAGAGAAGGGTCTTACATTTGCACACAGGGGTCCCTGAAGACCAGTCAGCGATGTTCTCCTTCCAGGCACAGGTGAGGAGGCCAGACCCTACCATCTGGTGGCCGGAGGGGCAGTGGAACACGAGCACAGTCCCCACGGAGGTGCCGTTGCCACGGAGGACTTGCAAGGTGCCCCTGGGGGGCGGCTGCAGCTGAGCACATGTGCCTGGGGAGAGAGAAAGGCTGTGAGGCTGCAGGGCGAAAGGGAGGTGTTGGCAATAAGGAGGGATCCCCCCAAGGCTGAAGGACCCTCTGGAAAAGGTCCTTGGGGACCATCCAAATGTTGGGACTGAGCTGAGGACTCCAGTTACATAATTAATAAACATTATGGTCAGGTGCCAATGGCTCATGCCTGTAATCCTAGCTACTCAGGACTGAGAGCTAAGAATTGTGGTTTGAAGACAGCCCAAGCAGGAAAGTCCATGAGACTCTCATCTCTAATTACCCACTGAAAAAGCCAGAAGTGGGCTGTGGCTCAAGTGGTAGAGCCTTGAGCAAAAAAAGTTCAGGGGTAGCACCCAGGCCCTGAGTTCAAGCCCAGGACTGGCACCAGAAAAAAAAGACAATAAATAAAAATATGTCACTATTATCTAAGCAGAGCTCCAAAGGCAGAAATTAAAGGTAGAAGAAAAGAGATAAAGACGGCATGAAAAGTAAAAGGCATTTGTGACTTCCTAATAATTGAAATGTTTCTCAAGATAAAAAAATTTTGAGGGGCTGGGAAGGTGGCTCAGTGGTAGAGCACTTGCCTTGCACGCATGAGGCCCTGGGTTCTATTCCTCAGCACCATATAAGCAAAAATAAAAAACCTGGAAGTGGCGCTGTGGCTCAAGTGGTAGAGCGCTAGCCTTGAGCTGAAGAGCTGAGGGACAGCGCCCAGGCCCAAGTTCAGGCCCCACGACCGGACCCCCCCCAAAAAAAACTTTGAAAAAGGTATTTGGAAAAAAGAACAAGCTGGGTATTATTGGCTGATGTCTACAATTCTAGCTGCACAGAAGACTGAGATATGAGGATTGTAGTTCAAAGCCAGACCAGGCAGGAAAGCCTGTGAGTATCTTATCTCCAATTAACCAGCAAAAAGCCAAAATTGGAGGTGTAGTTCAAAAAGTAGAGCTCCAGCGTTAAAAAAAATAAACAAAAGAGGCTGGGAAGTTGGCTCAGTGGTAGAGCACTTGCCTTGCATGCCTGAGGCCCTGGGTTCGATTCCTCAGCACCACATAAGCAAAAAGAAAAAAGCCAGAAGTGGCGCTGT